CGGTTCGGTGCGGTTTATAAAAATGCGGTGCGGTCCGGTCCGAACCGTACCGATGCCCACCCCTAGCTCACACTTTAGGGCCCTCAATACTTCTTCAAAACACCCGAGGCTTTCAAAGGCTCACCATGCCATTGTATCGATTCATGAATTAACTGACAAACTCTAACATACTTAAAGGTAAAAAGTCAATGTCAACGGGCTTGAATCCTTTGTCACATAAGAATCATAATGGGCGACTAACTTGTCAAACGGATCTTTAGACTAGAAAGGTTGCTATTAACGAGGAGAGGAAAAATGTTAGATAATAAAAAGGAGTTGGACCTATCTTGAAGAGACAAGCAAGAAAAGTCGTAGAAACTAGAAAACACAAAAAAAACCGTTCTATCATATCTCTTCATGTTTTCTATCTCCTCTCTAATTCCTTACGAATCAATGTTATTCTTTTCAACTACCAAAATACCATATTGGAAGGCGAAACCCCTTCAACTAGACTTAATATTGTGTTGAACAACACCAAGTCTACAATTTTATAGAGTTCGATCATAAAGTGTACCAACTTCCAACAAACTAAAAAGATCGAAATCAAATCACTTTGTTATGAAGTTGTAAGGAGAAAGATAATATGCCGGAATTAGAGACCCCCAACGTTTTCACCACTACCATAACATCTCTAATGATCACTGACCATTGATATGGCTAGAGATGCCTTGGATCAATCATTCATGTTAGTTTTGTGTAACAACGTTGATATTAGAAAACAAATTAGGAAAAAAGAGAAGAAATATACAGGATGAGTACATAAAGAAGAGAACAAACCAGCTAAATGAAGAGAAGAAAACAAAACTCTTTTTTCAACAAAAAGAAAAAACAAAAGAAATCCAGTATGTTTTTAAAATCCCACAAACAAACAACCCCTTAATCACATCTCCTAAGACTCAAGAGCAAACAAGCCAACAATGTGTTTCAGAAACGACAGGGAAGAAAGGAGGAGGAACACAAAGCAAGAATCATAACGAACCCAGAGGAACCGTGTTTCAAACAAAAGCCGATGGTGCGGGGAACCGATCCCCTTCGGGTAATAAAGGAGGCTATTATGATAAAACCGTTGTGGTCTGGGAAGCACCCGTGCGGTTAGATCTTTAAATTCGTTACTACGACAAGCTTCCCCCAGGTTTTCTTCCTGATGGAAACTAAACAACTTCGTGATGAGAATGAGAAAACTCGGTTGGAACTAGGCTTTAAAAATGGCAGAAGCTGGCCATGTGATGTGTCCAGGGGTGGTAGAGCAGGGGGATTATCTATGTGGTGGCTTGAGGATGTGCAGGCGACGGTGATGGTTGATTCTTTTAATTACATTGACCTTAAAATTGAGGAGAAGCAGGAAGAGGTTTGGAGATTTACTGAAATCTATGGATGGCCCGAGAGTCGGGATAAATTTCGTACTTTGGAGTTGATCTGTGACTTGGCTACTATTTGGAATGGACCATGGGTTTGTGGTGGTGACCTCAACCAAATCCTATCCGATGAGGAAAAGAAAGGAGGGATTTTGGGTAGAGAGGAGGAAATGGGGGCTTTCACAGACTGCTTGACGGAGACGGGCCTCAAGAACTTGGGGTTCCAAGGTTACCCATTCACGTGGGAAAATGGACGATGTATGGAAATGTATATTAAAGAGAGATAAGATCGATTTCTTGTGAATGGAGCTTGGTGGGAAATGCGGCCAAGGGCGCGAGTACTGCAGTTGGATCAAACGAGATCGGATCATCGCCCTATCTCTTGTGATACCTTAGGTGACGAAGACGAGGAGATCCGATAGGGGTGGTCTTTTCGTTTTGAACCGCTTTGGGCCAAGAATGACGAGTGTGTGGAGAAGGTAAAGGAAGCATGACTTGCGGATCCAGGAGATGCTATCTCCAAAATCTCAAAAGTTCAATCTACACTGGACTCTTGGAGCCGAACCACTTTTCCCAATTTCAAAAGGCGGAAGGAAAAAATTAGGAGGGTATGAGGGCCCTAGAACGCAGAGAGAAGACAGATGGGGTCCTTGAACAAAGACTTATTTTGCAAAAGGAGCTTGAGGAACTTGAAAGTGATGGGCTAAATTACACGTTTGGTCACTCAAATTACATAAATTTTTCTCGCTTGCCATTAATTTTCTTTCTTGTTCGCCACTAACTTTACGAATTCTTTCACCGTTAGTCATCGGCCGTCAGTTTCTGTTAGACCCCGTTAAATCCATCAGCTTTTTGATGATGTGGCAAACAGTTTTGTTAACTTTATGAGGGAGGCTCGAGATTCGATCCAGGTTAGGGTTTTGGAAATGGGAATTCGGCATCTTTTCACGAATGAAAACGACTACCAATGCGCTCTTGTAGACGTTACCGGATTCGTGGAATCCAAAGACGGTAGCAAAATATGAGTTTGTGCCCATTCCTGGAGCGACAACGAGGGAGGGGATCCGCCGAACTTGTGGAATGATGGTGGCGGTGGTGGTTTCGGGGGTGTTTACGAAGAGGATGAGTTGGGGTGTTAATTTTTTATTTTTTATTTTTTTAATTCACATGTCATTAAGTTAACGGTCCAGTCAACAGTTTCGTTTGCCACATCATCGACAAACTAACTGAGTTAACGGAGTCTGACAGTCGGTGACTAATAGTGAAACAATTCGTAAAGTTAGTGGCGAATAAGAAAGAAAAGTCATTTGGGTGGCAAACATGAAAATTTTATGTAATTTAAGTGACCAAACATGTAATTTAGCCAAAGTGATGAGGAGCTTTTTTGGGCTCAACGATCTCGAGCTGATTGGCTGAGGGGTGGCGATAAAAACACCAATTTTTTCCACCGCAAGGCAACATCGAGACGGCGCAGGAACACAGTGAGAAAAATAAAGGACGAGTCGGGTGCATGGTGGCGAGGACGTTTTACAATGCTTTATGAATGACTTTGTAAATTTTTTCACTGCAGGAACTCGCTCGGAGTTGACGTCGGTCCTGGATTCGGTGGAAGCTAGAGTAAATGATAACATGAATGCAGGGCTTCTCAAGCTGATAACCAGGGAGGAGTTTTATGGAGCTCTACGCCAAATGGGGAAGAGGAGGGCGCCCGGTACAGATGGTATGTTCGTCTTGTTCTTTCTCAAATATTGGCACATTGTGGGGGACGAAGTGACGAAGATGCTGATGGGGGTGATCGAGAATGGAACGATGCCGCAGGAGCTGAACCATACTATCTTGGTGTTGATTCCCAAAGTCAAGGAGCCAACTATGGCAAAGGAGTTCCGACCGATAAGACTCTGTAACGTTATGTATAGGATATTATCGAAAGCTTTGGCTAACAAACTGAAGGTCATTCTGGACAAGATTGTTTCACCGAAACAGAGCGCATTTGTACCGGGCCGTTTCATAGCAGATAATGGCATGACAGTCTTTGAGTGTTTTCACACTATAAAGAAGAAAACAAAAAAAGGGATATCTAGCGGCGAAGAATGACATGGAAAAGGCGTATGACAGGGTGGAATGGTGGTTCTTGGAAGAGGTGATGCGAAAACTGGGTTTTACGAAAGGCTGGACTAGGCTGATTGTGCTTTGTGTCAGCTCGGTGACTTATGCAGTCCTAGTCAATGGGCATAGATCACAGACTTTTACTCCTAGTCGGGGTTTGTGGAAGGAAGATCCGCTCTCACCATACCTCTTTTTGTTGGTAGCGGAGGGACTGTCGAGCTATATCTCTTTGGTAGTTAGACAGAAGCGTATCCATGGTTTGTCGGTGGCCAGGGGAGCGTCGGTGATATCCCACCTTTTTTTCGCTGACGATTCTATCTTTTTTGCTAGAGCTACAGAAAAGGAGAGCCAGGAGTTAAGAAAGGTGTTTGCTGACTATGAGAGAGAGTCGGGGCAACTTGTCAGTCTGGAGAAGTCTGAGGTGACTTTTGGAGGGAATATGAAGCCTCACCAGAGACTAATTGCTAGCTCAACTCTGGGAATGAAGGTAGTGGAAAAACATGATAAATACTTGGGATTAGTTACAGAGGTGGGACGATCGAAGAAGGAGCTGTCCACTTTCCTGAAAGCCCGTGTTCACAAAAAACTGTCTGGTTGGAAGGAAAAAGCAATGTCACCGGCAACGAGAGAGGTTCTGATCAAGTTTGTGGCGCAGGCTCAACTAACTTATACCATGTCTGTTTTTAAGATCCATGACGGGATTCTTGATGAAGTGCAGGGGATGATAACACGGTTCTGGTGGGGACAATGGGGGAGGAGAGAAAAGTCTTATGGGTGGCGAGAGAAGGTTTGATGTGTACAAAGGCGCAGGGGGTATTGGGCTACGTGACTTGAAAGGTTTCAACTAGGCTATGCTAGCTAGACAGGTGTAGAACCTTTGGCAATGCCCGACATCCCTGGTGGCTTGTATAATGAAGGCCAAGTATCACAAACACACTTCGATTCTGGATGCTCGTATCGGATATCGGGCAAGTTATGTATGGCGTAGTCCTATGAGTGCCCAGGATTTCCTGGTGGATGGGTTGAGATGGAGAATTATTGGAAATGGTGCATTGGTCAGGATTTAGGGAGATCGCTGGATTTCTTCGACGGAAGGCTTCACTGTTCAGTCTCCACCGATGGGCTTACCGGTTGATGCAGTAGTCCGAGAGTTGGTGGATGAAGAAGAAGAGAAGTGGGATGAGAATCTCCTAGAAAGCTGCTTCCCAACGGATATGGTCTAGGCAATTCGCCAAATCCCTCTGCGAAACCCAAGTGAATAGGATAAACTTATATGGGCGTAAAGCAGGGATGGCCGCTATACCGTTTGTGAGGGCTATAACACATGGTTGAAGAGGTTCCGGGAGCAACATGAGGATAGGAGTGTGGGGATCAGGGATGTGGAAGCTACTGTGGTCTCTTAATGTGCCGCCGAAAGTGAAGGTATTCATGTGGAAGTTCACTCGTGAAGCGTTGGCAACGGGCGAGAGGGTCAATAAACGGAATCCCACATGTAGTGATGCGTGTCCGTTTTGCGACCAAAAAGAAACCCAGGTCCATGCTTTTTATGAGTGCTCATGGGCTAGCAGATTGTGGCATACCTCATCGGTCGAGCATTGCTTTGCGATGCACATTGGCCCTAGCTGCATGGATTGGGTTCAGAAGGTAATTGAGAGGGTTTCTGTGAGTGATCTTGAGGACTGATCGTGTTGTTGTGGTCGTTATGGAAAGAACAAAACGCGCACCTGTTTAATGGAAAGAAGATGGAGGAAGTGGAGATAGTGCCTCGTGCGATCACATACCTGGAGGAGTATCGGCTAAACCAGCTTAAAGAAGTTCACCCGCAAAACTCGGATATGGTGGAAACCTGGAAGCGACCAACACAAGGGAGAATGAAAGTCAACGTGGATGTGGATGCAGGTTTGGATGAGGGAGGAGTGGGGCTGGGTGTGGTTATGCGAGACCATGCAGGAAGTTTTGTATTGGCAGCAACAAAGAGAATGAAGGACATTACGGATCCGACGATGGGGGAAGCGCTGGCCTTCGAGTTTGGATTACAGCTGGTTCGGCAACACCATATAGCATCTCCGACGGTGGAATCCAACTGTTTGACAGTGGTGAACAGTACGAGTGGGATGGTGGAAGTGGAGACAGAAGTGGGGATTGTCTACAGGAAAATAAAGAAGCTGTTGGGGAGATCGATAACGGAAGCTTGTGGCATGTGCGCATGAAGGCAAATAAAGCGGCACATATCATGGCTCATACGAAGACCCGTTGGAATATAGCGGAGTTCGGTTTGACAGACCCCGCTAAATCTGTTAGATAAGCTTGTAATTGACAATGTTATTTCCGTTGCAATTGAATAAAAATTGAGTGCAGGTTTCAATAAAAAACACGACAAGGAAGAAGAAAAGAAAAAAGTAACGCTTCGAATACATTGCTTTGCCACAGAACAAAATGCACCATTAGTTATTATTATTATATAAATAGCGCCTAATTGCTTAAGGGGTTTAGTCGGATACGGACGCCCACGCTAGGTTTATGTGCACATCTTTCCACAATTACGCACTGTTATTTCACTCTGTTGTTTCCTTAATTTCTTCATGCAAGATCGATTTCCCCTTTTTCCGCACCCCTTCCTTCTCCGCATAGTTTCCCGTCCATCCTCCCCAGTTTTTCTGCCGATTGCTTTTCTGTTTATTTCGACGTTTCCATATCATCAAGTTGGACAGAGAATCATAGACAAGAAAAAGTAAGTGATTGGAAATCCCACCGAAAGATGTGAATCGAGAACAGAGTAGCAATTAGAGAAGAGCAGGCAGTTAGATGGAAGAAACCGACGGCTGCCGTGGGCTTCCATTCCATGCCAGTTACCAAAAAAGTTTCCTTTCACTAATCGTTATCGTTCCTTCTAAGCCGCATGAACCCGCAGACTATATAGCGGATTGACATGAGAGAATTAAGGCGGACGCCGACTTTTTTTACTCCCATCTTTCACCACTTTGCTGATTTATTAAACCTGCCTCTATCCATCTATTTGATAGTTGGAGAAACATTATTATTTAGCTGTTTCCCCCAAGCTCTAATTAGTATTGTGGATCGACTCCCTTTCCCATTTGCATGAGTTCCACGTAGCATCGAAGGGATGCCACCTATCCTCCACTGACATGATTCACAATAATTAGTTTTCTCTTATTGATTTCGGATTTCATTGTTTCGCTTAAGGAAATGGTTTGGTGACGTCTAAAAGCCACATCATCTAATGCATTCATTTTTGCTGAATCGCGCCGGTGCTTATTATCATAATATGGTATTTATTCACATAAGACTGCTGGTTATTCATGTAAATGAAAATTCATACATTTATTTATGATATTTGCATCAACCATATTTTATAGAATTAATTTTAAATTATAAAATTTTCTATAAAAATGAGTTGTATTATCATAATCTACCCAATAACGTCCATTTTGATATATTTCAAAATTTAAAAATTAATTTTATAATAATCTGAATAAACAAAAATTGATTTTATAATAATGTGAATAAATAAAAATATGTGTGAATAGACACTAGGTTTTATGAGTAAACATTATTGATTGTATGAATACCCAACTAATATGACGTGATTAAGCACAAATTTACATAAATAAACGCAAAAATATGTAAATTAGGTGTCGTGGCTTTTAAGTGACACCAAACCTTCTCCTTGGTTTAATTGTGCACAAAGTAAAACTTCTCCTTCATCAAAATGAGAGCAGTTAATAAATTACATATAAAAAAAAATGCATGGGTAATAGGATCCCTGCTGCTCCCTCAAGGCTTGACTTCAATCTTTTTTGTTAGGCTTTTAATAAGGGGATTGCTAATTATCACCCTAATCGCCCTAACTTAAAATTAAAATCTTACCTCTTTGTCCCTCCTTTTTTATTATTAAAAAATACTTTATGCTAACACATACATTTAATTTTACCCAAAGAAAACTGATTCACGTTAACTGCCATCACTACCCGACCCCGCCGCCACCATTACCTGCTGCCACCAACACTACCCACCTCCGGCCGCCATTAAAAAGGCGTCAAAAGCACCATTCCCATCGAAGCATACTCCTAAGACAGAAGGACGTAGAATCCTGCTTTTTGTAGATGGATTTGTAATGAAACTAAAACGTGCATTTACTGGGGAAGAGAATTTGTTTTTCACAAAGCCATTTACAATTTTTTATACAGAGTTGCCGGGGGTGGGATAGTCAAGCTAAGAGGATGGATGGATGATTATATCTCCTCTGAAAAGTACTGACCAATATTTTAATGTCCCGCACGTTTAGTTTTCAAAGTAAAGGTTATAAATATTTATTTGGTTAATGAATAAAAATCCTATTACTATTGCATGTATAATTAATGTATAAACGTATTTATTTGGTTTAGAAGTCTAAATATGCTTTATTTTAATAGTTTAAATGCCAAAAACACCCTTCATATAAACTCTCATAAGGCTCGAAATTTTGAATAGAGTAGGTTCTGATGGAGAATCTCCATATAATAGTGGTAGGAGGTAGGATTATGATACAAATTCCCCAATGATTGCAATCATTGGCATGGCCAGAAATATATTTAATTGGGTCGAAGAACTACATAGAATCAGAGAACTCTTTGAACACAACTCAATATATAGTGTAATGGTGGAGCTGTTGTCTCAAACTCTCAATATATAGTGTACCTATAATCTTTTGTATAAATCTTTTTACTATACAAATTAGAGTTGTACCTTTATGTTATGATACCATTGGAAGTTGTATCATATCATAAAGATACAATTTCACTTATAGTACAACTTCAATTTGTAGTTTTAACATAACGATACAACTATGATAGATTTTCAAGTTGAACTTTAAAGCAACAATGCTTTAGTACAACTTCAGTTTGTTCGTTGTTTAAGTTTACAGGTCATTACATATAAAAGCTTATCACTAGCTTCGGTTCAAGTTTAACGTCCAACAATGTTTGATTTCATTATTATTGATTTTGTAATGTGTGTCCAGAAGTTTGAAAAGTTTATTCTTTCAAAAACTATATTCGTATTCCAAAAGTTAATGATTCTTCAAACTTTTATTTCCTCTAATAACATCCACTTTCATTTAAAACAAAACTGTTCTTTAATTCTAATTAGCATATACATTTTAGATAAATTGCTGCGGAGCGCGGACCAATTATATAGTTATCCATTAACGACCAGTCTATAATACGGCTACATATTAACATGTACTATCATTAATCAAAGTCTGACCACCACTTTGGTCACTCTCGTCACTTTGGTCAAGTTACTCCATTTCCCTCCATCCAAAACAATTTTCCCCTCTTCTGCTATCTCTCTGAACACTGAAGAAAGTCAAGCCAGCAATGGCGGTGGCGTTGGTGAAGAGGGTTCTGGATTCTGGGTGGATAGCGGCTAGATCGACGGAGGTCAAGCTCACCGGGATTCAGCTCACTACCACTAACCCTCCTTCCGTCGGACCCAAGTCGCCATGGATGGAAGCTGTTGTCCCCGGAAGGTATTTTTTCTTTCCAGAAAACAGAAAAATCTGTTCGTTTTCTGGCATTTTCTTTGTTCTGCAGCTGCATTCCTGAGTAAATTCTGATCCTTTAAAGCTGTCTGCTTGTTGGGTTGGTGAGTATTGTCTCAATGCGATTTTGTGCATAGATGATGGAATGCTATGCTCTTTGTACCAACTTTGGACTTAAGATGTACATACAGCTTACTGCTTTAGTTTTATGATTAGGAACATTGTTGAACTTCTAGCTATCAAATGCTAGTTATTGTTTTTTCGTCTGTGTATGAGTAATCAATAACTTTGGCTAATTTGCGGAAACTTTCTTTTTCTCTTTGGTAGTGTTTTGGCAACCCTGGTAAAGAACAAAGTAGTTCCTGATCCATTTTACGGACTGCAGAATGAAGCGATCATCGATATTGCTGATTCCGGGAGGGATTACTACACATTCTGGTTCTTCACAACTTTCGACTGTAAGCTGGTATGATTGTGAACTGCAGATTCTTTTTATGTTCTGCTTTTTCATTGTGTCAAATTGTTTGCTTGAACCTGTATATTGACTGTTTTCGTTTGGAAATGTTGTAGTCAGCAGACCAATTCTTGGATCTGAACTTCCGTGGAGTGAATTACTCGGCCGAAGTGTATCTAAACGGACATAAAAAGTTATTGCCTAAGGGGATGTTTAGAAGACATTCTCTTGATGTTACTAGCATTCTAAATAGTGAGGGAAGCAACTTGCTAGCTGTTCTAGTTCATCCACCAGATCATCCTGGCAAAATCCCTCCAGAAGGCGGCCAGGGTGGTGATCATGAGGTGTGTGAAAGGATTCAGCAAATGGCTTCAGTTTTGGGGCAGTGAAATCATATGAAGATTTCGATGTTAAGTATTACTAACGAGGATTCTGCCGTATCTTGCAGATTGGGAAAGATGTCACGACACAGTATGTCGAGGGATGGGATTGGATTTGTCCCATAAGGTGACTAATGTTGTTTTTCTTTTATTGAACATTCAGATATCTAATCCTATTGCTTATTGTTTGCATGCTTAGATGAAGAATTTCTTCATGTGATTTCAGGGACAGGAATACTGGCATTTGGGATGAGGTGTCCATATCAGTTACTGGGGTGAGCTTCTGTTTATTGGTGCTGAATTTCTGCTGAAGGCATGCTTATGTGTTGTTTTTCCTAATACTGCATCTCAATTTTATCCCTACAGCCAGTGAAAATAATCGATCCACACTTGGTCTCGACTTTCTACGATGACTATACAAGGGTATATCTGGAAGCTGCAGTGGAGTTGGAGAATCGAAGTTCTTCAGTGGCTGGGTGTACCATCAACATTCAAGTGACAACGGAACTAGAGAGAGATGTTTGCTTAGTGGAGCATCTGCATACACAGTACTTGGCCATAGCGGCTGGTAAACGTGTTCATTACACATTTCCTCAGGTAATAATATTCTTTTTCGTGAATGTTCATGTGAATACTTGAACAATTCAGTTGACTAATGGAGCGTGAGTTGAATGAACAGTTATTCTTCTACAAGCCAAACTTATGGTGGCCAAATGGCATGGGGAAGCAGGCTTTGTATAATGTCACCATTACTGCCAATGTCGAGGGACATGGAGAATCCGACACTTGGAACCAACTATTTGGATTCCGTAAAATCGAGAGCTCCATTGACACAAAAACTGGTGGAAGGTAGTTGTGATTGGTTCACCTTAGGCCTTGTCTTGCTGCATACAAATATAACCTGCATGGTCTCTTAAGCTCTTGTTCTCAAGCAGGTTATTCAAGGTCAATGGCCAACCAATTTTCATCCGAGGGGGTAACTGGATAGTGTCTGATGGGTTGCTACGGCTTTCCAGAAAACGGTATGAGACAGATATAAAGTTCCATGCGGACATGAATTTCAACATGATCCGCTGTTGGGGTGGTGGGTTAGCCGAGAGACCAGATTTCTATCATTACTGTGATATTTATGGCATTCTAGTAAGTTCTCTTTATTTCCCCCTCTTGTGCTTGGGACATGACACTGGGAGATTTCTCTTTTCATTAATTTCATTGAGTTAATCTGGAACATTTGGATGGAAAACACCCAATAGACATTGAATAAATGACTCGCATGTTTGTTTTTTTAAACTAAAGTGACAAGTTTGTCAAAGCTCTTAGTTCATTAACCCATTTGTTAGTGACCTCCTATGCAATTTATTCAATCGAAATTTCTGCCTTGAACTTCCCATCCCCAGAATTGAACAGTGCTAAGCTTGCTGCAGAAGTTCAAAGCATTTGCCTTGAGAACACAACTTATGTCTCTAATCTGTTTTCAGGTGTGGCAAGAGTTTTGGATCACTGGAGATGTTGACGGAAGAGGAGTCCCTGTTTCAAATCCAAATGGTCCATTGGATCATGACCTCTTCTTGTTATGTGCCCGTGACACTGTGAAGCTCCTACGGAACCATCCAAGTCTCGCTCTTTGGGTAGGTGGAAATGAACAAGTGCCACCACCTGACATCAACAATGCCTTAAAACAAGACCTGCAATTAATGCCTCATTTCCAAACCGTCATAGAAGGAGGAGGTAAAAAGCTCCCAGTGTCAACAGCTCTCAGTGACTATCTCGATGGTACACGAATCTACATCCAAGGATCTCTATGGGATGGCTTCGCTGATGGCCAAGGGAACTTCACCGACGGGCCTTACGAGATTCAGTACCCTGAGAGCTTCTTTAAGGACGACTTCTACAAGTATGGCTTCAACCCCGAGGTTGGTTCTGTTGGAATGCCAGTTGCTGCCACTATCAGAGCTACAATGCCCATAGAAGGATGGCAAATCCCATTCTTTAACAAGGTTGCTGAAGGTTATGTGGAAGAGGTTCCTAACCTAATATGGACATACCACAAATACATTCCGTATTCCAAACCCAGCAAGGTTCATGATCAAATACTGTTATACGGCCTCCCAACAGACCTTGATGATTTCTGCCTAAAGGTATCTTTGCAATTACCTTACTACCATTTTAAGTTTATTTGCTGTTATAATACTGTGGTAGCTGATACCGACTTCTCTTTTATGCTGTGAGCATCTCAGGCACAACTTGTAAACTATATCCAATACAGAGCTCTGCTGGAGGGCTATAGTTCTCATATGTGGAGCAAGTACACTGGTGTCCTTATTTGGAAGAACCAGAACCCATGGACAGGGCTTCGGGGCCAGTTTTATGATCATCTTCTCGACCAAACAGCAGGTTTTTATGGCTGTCGTTCTGCTGCAGAACCACTACACATCCAGCTAAATCTGGCTACCTATTTCATAGAGGCAAGAAATAGATAAAAAAAATTTAACACTATATTTACCATTTGATTCTTCTGCTAAAATTTATTAGCTTGCCATTCTCCTTCCTCGTAAGCAGGTTGTCAATACCCTACCAAATGATCTGTCAGATGTGGCTATAGAAGCATCCGTATGGGATCTGGAAGGAACATCCCCATATTACAAAGTCTACGAGGACCTCTCAATTCCTTCGAAAAAGACTACACGCATTGCTGAAATGACGTACCCCAAGTCCAAGAATCCGAAACCAGCATACTTCCTCCTACTGAAACTCTACAACAAGTCGGATTACAACATCTTATCCAGGAACTTCTACTGGCTGCATCTGCCTGGTGGCGATTACAAATCGCTGGAACCATTCAGGAAGAAGAAGATCCCTCTCGAGCTCACGACGCAGACCTTCATCACCGGAACAACTTATGAAATGGAAGTCCTTGTCCAGAACAGGTCCAAGAAACCAGACCCCTCCAGACATTTGACCGACCAGAACAACTTCGTCACCAAAATCCAACACATGGCTGCTGGTGATGACTACGATTCGACCTCAGAGCTGCAGCCTGCAATAACCAATCCACAAGAAAATGATGATGATTGGACGCGCAAAGGTGGCTTCTTTAGAAGTATGTCCAGGATCTTTTCCAGCGAAACTGATGGGAACTCCATGAGGGTCTGTGAAGTGCATGGCAGTGATGTTGGAGTTGCGTTTTTCCTTCAGTTTTCTGTTCATGCTGCAAAGGAAAAGTACCAAGAGGGTGAAGACACCAGAATCCTGCCAGTTCATTATTCCGATAACTACTTCTCGCTGGTTCCGGGAGAGCAAATGAGGATCAAACTGTCGTTCGTGGTTCCCCCGGGGGTTACTCCAAGGGTTATTCTTCATGGCTGGAATTTCCCTGGTGGCCATGTAGTTCATCACTGAGGTAGGTGGGGAAAGTTTAGGTGGGTTTTGAAATAAAAATGTACCATGACTTGTTCCTGAATCCTGAATAAGAAGTATCAGTTTGATTGGAACTTGTGTAGTTGTATAGTTCAATCTGTAACTGTAATCATTAATTGCTTGTATGAGCATTCTTGTTAGTTTTAAGTTCTAATGAAAAATCTGCATTATTCTGAATATCTCAAACCAAACACGACGACAAACCTAAATGTCGTTACTAAAATTCTCGTGCGCGTTGCGGAGTAAGACCTATAAGGTAGAAACTAGAAACACTTCATTTGACTTCCCCTAACAACATAAAACCACGTCACAAACTGAGTACGCAGGGTTCATGGATGAAACCCAAATGGGTTCCTTCTTCACTGACCTCTCTTCTCGCTTCGTACAAGGCCCGATTTCATCAAGCCGCTTCTTCTTCCTCGGAAGCTTCCACTTTCGTCCTCAACCATGTAGATGTAAGCCTCCTCCTGTCCCTTTGCGGGAGAGAAGGCAACCTTCATCTGGGTTCTTCTTTTCACGCTTCAATCATCAAGACCCACGATTTCACCGCCCATCACCAGCAAGATTCTTACAGCGCGCGAAATTCCGTCGTCATCTGTAACTCCCTCCTGTCGTTGTATTCAAAGTGTGGGGTTTTGAATGATGCGGTGAAGGTGTTCGATGAAATGCAGCACAGAGATACCATCTCGTGGAACACGTTGATCTCTGGGTTCTTAAGCATTGGGGGGTTTGAAGCGGGATTGGGATGGTTTAAACAGATGCAAAGGTTGGATCTTTACAGTTTTGATCAAGCAACGTTGACCACTGTTTTGTCTGCTTTTGAGAAGCCAGAGTTTGGCTATGCCAATAGAATGATACATGGTCTGGTGTTCTTGAGCGGGTTTGATGGAGACACTAGCGTTGGCAACGCGTTGATAACGTCTTACTTCAAATGTGGATTGCCGTGTTCAGGGAAACAGGTTTTTGACGAAATGCTTGAAAGGAATGTCATCAGTTGGACTGCTGCAATTTCAGGACTATCCCAGAACGAATTGTACGAGGATAGTTTGAGACTGACAGTGGAAATGCTTCGGGGCTCAGCCAAACCAAACTTCTTGACATATTTGAGTGCATTGATGGCTTGTTCTGGCTTGAAAGCTTTCAAGGAAGGGGCTCAAATTCATGCACATGTATGGAAATTGGGTATTCAATCAGAACTGTGCATCGAGAGTGCCCTAATGGACATGTACTCCAAATGTGGAAGCGTTGAAGATTCCTGGAGCATTTTTTACTCCGCCAAGCAACTTGACGAGGTCTCCATGACCGTAATACTCGCTGGTTTTGCTCAGAATGGGTTTGAGCAAGAAGCTTTACAGTTCTTCACCAGAATGGTCAGATCAGGAGTTGAGATCGATGCAAATATGGTCTCAGCTGCTCTTGGTGCATTTGATGCCAATGCTTCTTCGAGTCTTGGTCAGCAGATTCACTCGATGATAATCAAAAGAAAGTTCGACTCGAATGCATTTGTCTGCAATGGCCTCATCAACATGTACTCCAAGTGTGGAGACCTCTACGAGTCGATCAAGATCTTCAACCACATGCCATTGAAGAACTCTGTCTCGTGGAACTCCATGATAGCTGCTTCAACCCGCCATGGTGATTTCTCCAGGGCACTGCAGTTCTACCAGGAGATGAAACAAGGAGAAGGTGTCGACCCAACAGACGTCACGTTTCTCTCCTTGCTCCACGCCTGCAGCCACGGGGGCTTCCTGGACGAAGGGATGAACTTGCTGGAATCCATGAACCAATCGCACAACATCGTACCAAGAACGGAGCACTATGCTTGTGTTGTCGACATGCTAGGCAGGGCAGGGCTCCTGAATGAAGCCAAGGCGTTCATCGATGGACTGCCCCTTGAGCCTGACGTGCTGATATGGCAGGCTTTACTCGGAGCTTGTGGAATCCATGGAGATGCAGAGATGGGGAAGTTTGCTGCTGAGAAGCTGTTCTTGTGTGCACCTAATGAGCCTGGACCATATGTTCTGCTGGCTAACATCTATTCCTCTAACAGGAGATGGAAAGAGAGAGCGAAGACGATCCGAAGGATGAAGGAAATGGGAGTGGGGAAAGAGACTGGGATGAGTTGGATTGAGATTGAGAAGAAAGTTCATAGCTTTGTTGTTGAGGATAGAATGCATCCTGAAGGAGATGCTATATATGGGTTAATCATGGAGTTGCTTGGGAATATGGTTGATCATGGTTATGTGCCTGATAAGAGGTTTCTTCTTCATTATGTGGATCAGAATGGGAGACAGTAGGGAAAGTTTTGATTTGACTGAACTGTCTTTAGACGAAATAAAACCAAACACAGAAACCCACCGTATCAGTTCGGGAGAAGGAAAACCCCAAAAAGAGCAGTCAGTCGCATATAATAAGGAATTGCTGCTTCCTTCCGTCCATCCCTTTGTTGGTCCACCGCCATGGCGACTCGTCGAGAAAGCTCAACTCTTTCAGAGTTGGTAAACCCTCCTCCGTCTCCCATCACCAAACTCAGGGCCGACGATCTCCTCGTAGAAATTCTGATTCGACTCCCGACTCCTAGAACAGCCTGCCGTTGCAAAGCCGTCTGCAAGTTGTGGAACTCCCTAATCTTCTCTCCATACTTCAACCGTCGCTTCATATCTCGCTACAAGACCATTAACGACGGCCCGCCTCTACTTCTTCGCTCCGACGACCGCCCGGAGACATCGACCATCCTCAGCTTTCTCCCCGTGCCAGAACAAGGTCGAGACCGTTTTGCAGTCCTTGATTCCTTCAAGGACTTGCTTCTGTGCGGGTTTGTGGATCGAATTTACGTCCACAACGAACTTGATAGATCGTACCTGGTCTGCATCCCATTACCAAGCAATGGATCGCCCTTCCTTTAGCGCCTGAGAAGGAGTTTGCTCATGGCCGTGCCTATATAAAACATGTGCACGCGAGGTTAGTTTGTCAACCCCGTCATAACTATGATCTTCAGCTAGGAGATGCCGAGTATTTGTTCATTCTGAGTATCGGTTTCGGGTGGTGTGTGTATATGCAACTTTCGAGCCGGTTGCAACTTTAAAACTGGACGTGTTTACTTCGGAGTCCGGAGAATGGATCAAGGATGCTCTTGTTCTTGCTGGTCGATTAAGAAAGGTTCAGCCTGGTTCACTTTCGTGCAATGGGGAATTATTTTGGTGGTTTCAATATACCGGGGTTCCTGGCTTTTCAATGGTTGCCTTCAATCCTTTCCGCCTTGAAATACCTCCCACTGTCATTGACACTTCTTCAATCTCCCAGCCCGCGTTCGAAACTGTTGATTGCTTCTGTCTCACAAGATGCTTTGCATATTATTGTAGCTGAAGCTAAAAACGGCACCTATTGTCTATTCGAGGAATGGCTACACTGTTTGGAGGCTGGAAGAAGATGGCAAGTCTTGGAGGAAGCTATATGGAATGTGGTTGAGTGAGGCGTCATGGCGCGATTATGACCTCGAGTATAGTGAAGTGCTTAATCTGCATCCAGAAAAGCCGGAAATCATCTTCCTGCAATCTTTCGGTCGTCGAAAACATGGTTGTGCAATCTTGTCTTGCAACTTGCGGACGGGTGAGCTAGAGTACTTTGGTCCAGTGGAACAACTTCTGGTTCCTTTCATGGTTTTTCAGCCTGGCCTCTCTAGCTGCCCTATTTCGATTCCAATGTATAAGGAATTGCGAGCTGTGTATGATGGAAGCTATAGTTGTCTGGTTCAGACCGTGGAAGCAACTCCTATGATGATCGGTATCACTTCTGCTTCTGAGAATTTATCCTTGGTTTCTCGAATCTGAGATGCACAGATGTGTTGCATTTGTATTCTCTGTCTTTTTGTGGTCTCGCTTCTAATCTGATCTCCCATCTCATTTGTCTTGTGGTTGGTCTGATGGATACTGAAGCAATAGAAGAACGATATGCACTGTAGTACTAGTCTACGTTTACCGATGGAAAAGTTTTGGGGTATGCCTACGATGATATGCATGTCACGGTGACTTGCACTTTCCGGTCGACCTCAGTTAGAATTAGGTCGACCACATTTAGAATTCGGTCGACCTCATATAGGATCTGGTCGACCTCATTTAGGATTCAGTCGACCTAATCTGTTGTTTCAATGTAAAAACAGTTCATGATGCCTACTTTGGATATTCATATCATACAATTGGCTAGATGGAAATTGAAGACTAATGATTTGTTTTGAAGCAGGAGTGTCCCTCTACATATTGAAGTGATTGAGAGCTCGATAGGAAGTCCAGAAGACCATTTTTGAACCTCATCAAAAGGCTATGCCAAAACTGGGAAACTGCCTGGAAATGGCTAAGTCTGGAAACGTGTTTGTGAAGCCTATTTTGGAGCTCAATTCGAGAAGCATGAATGCGAGTCGAGTACAGGAGCTTCTACCACGTTAAATTAGGTATGTTTTTATACAAATTCAAGGCATTGGATGAAAGATTGGATATCTGTAAGGCTTCAAACAAAAGGGTCGAAGTTGCTACGAAGGCTTTTTTTTTTTTGCTGACTCACAAGCAAGCTGCCAGAAAAACAGCCTTCGTAGCAACTTCGAGCCTTTTGTTTGAAGCCTTAAAGATATTCAATCTTTCATCCAATGCCTTGCCTTTGTATAAAAAATTACGTAATTTAACGTGGTAGAGGCCTCTAGACTTGACTCGCATCCATGCTTCTCAAATTGAGCTCCAAAGTAGGCTTGACAAACACGTTGCCAGACTTGGCCATTTTCAGGCAATTTCCCAGTTTTGCCATAGCCTTTTGGTTAGGTTCAAAAATGGTCTTCTGAACTTTCTATTGAGCTCCCAAGTACTTTAATGTGTAGAGGGACACTTCAGCTTCAAAACAAGCCCTTAATATCCAATTTCCATCTAGCCAATTGTAAGATATGAATCTCCAAAGTAGACACCATGAAATTGTTTTTACACTGAAACAACATATTAGGTCGACCTAATCCTACATGAGGTCGACCGAAAAGTGCATGTCACCGTGACATGCATGTCACCGTAGCAAAGTCCAAAGTTTTGTTATCACAAGAGGTGACAAAATGCCTAATACTAACTTATTTAGGTATTTTTTGTGCTTATTCAGCCATGTGTTTATTTACGCAATATTATGCTAATTTATGTAAGAGTGTAAGTTATTTACGTAAATGAAAATTCAGAATTTGTTCTCTGATAATTTGTATTGGCTATATTTTATGGAATTAAATTTGGATTCTCAATTAATATGTAAAAATGTGTTGCACTTATTATAATTTAGACAATAATATTCATTTTGATATATTTCAAAGTTTAATATTTAATTTTACAATGGTGTGAATAAATATGAGATTGTAGGACTAAACAGTATTGGTTGCTCCAACGAAAAAAAAAATTGGTTGTATGAATAATCAACGCTCTTGTGTGAATAACACCAATATAGCATGAATAAATTCAAATTTACATAGATAAATAACGTGTTTTGTTTCGTCTTTAGAGGTGACAAAAGACTTTCTTTAAAAACACAGGGTACGACGGGTGAGCTTTCGCACTAGCGATGGCAACAAAACTCGAACCCACGGGTACCCTCTCCGACCCAACCCGGTCAACGCGGGTAAAACCCGTGTTAACAGTTTTTGGGCCGAGTTCGGGTTTAAACACGTTGATTATTTACCGGGTTGGGTTTGGGTTTGGGTAAACCCGCCCCATGGGTACCCGTCCACACCCATATAATTAATTTTTTTGGTATATTAAATATTCAAAACAACTAATCTTCTTTATGTTTGTGGAATGTGGAGACATGTCTAATTTTTTCTTTCGAATTGTGTAGAGTGAAGTTGATATTATCAAGTGGAGAGTGAAGAAGCTTAATTGACAAGGAGGAAGAAGTTTTCAATTAATCATGTTGTTTATGAATTATTTGTGATTTGCTTCAATTTTCTAGATTGGTGTTGAACAATTTGTATGGTTGATTTGTGATTTACTTGAATTTTCTAAAATGGTGTTTTATATATGGATAATTTGTATTGAGAGATTGATATTTGACTTTTATTTTGATAGAAACTTATTATTGTAAATTTTTTGTGACAAAAACCCATGGGTACCCATGAACCCGTGGATACCCAACGGATTGGGTTCGATTTGTGTTTTTAAAACCCAGTGGGTTTTACCCCAGATTTTTTTCACGGATAAACCCATGAATTTAGGTTTAGGTTTAGCTTTAGGTTTGGCAAAACCCAACCCGACCCATTATCATCATTCATCCCTATTCCGCACGGCCCAGTCAAAACGCACCGGTTTAACTACAAACGTAAACCATTCGATTCCATTCGTTCACAAATCACAATTCACAAATCACAACTCACAAATTCTGCTCCCCGACAACAAAAGTTGGAGAAATCCGTAACGGACCACCGCCACTAGCTTCCGCCTCCTTCCGACGGCCGGAAGAAAAGGCGAAAAAATGGGGACTTTCGCTTTTTGCCTTTCTTCTCTCACTCCAATTCCTCCACTTGAAAACAACGTTTTCTCCCGCCCGCACGCCCGAAACCCCACCCGCTTCCCTTCGATTCGGGCTCGGGGCTCCAACTCCGGAACAGGGGACGCCGTCGCCGCCGATGCCGATTCTTCTCCCCACGCTGTCCTCGGCGTCGAACCGGGATGCTCCGCCGCGGAGCTCAAGTCCGCCTTCCGAGAAAAAGTGAAGCAGTTCCATCCCGATGTAATCGGCGGCGGGGGGAAGGGCTCCGATATCATGATTCGCCGCGTAATTGAAGCGTATCAGAGCTTATCCTCCTTAAGCCGATCAGAGATCATCGAGAGGTGAAACATAAATAGGCCAATTTGATCAGCTGTGAACTTCCCTCATTTGTTTTTCTCCCCACGTCGACTGAAATCGGTTTCGGATTTTTGGTCTGCAGAGAATGTTTGGATCCATTCGACGACCCAGAGTGTGAAGCGTTTGATATATTTGTGAATGAATCTGCCTGTTTTGGTAAAGGTAAACATACCAAATCCGCATGGTCATCAACATTCATCTTGATGACCAATTTGAGATTCAGTTCAATTTCACTTTCAAATTGCAGCTTGTCCATATTCATGCGTAGAAAGAGCGCCACACGCCTTCACGTTTTCTTCACTGGGCACCGCCAGAGCAACATCTCAAGGTAACAACATATTATTTCTGAGTTCTCGTTGGTGTTTCTGCCATGTCTTCTTAACATTTGAAGCTTTACCAGGTCATGGTGAAGATTACCAAGTTCAGATGGCGGCGGGCCAGTGTCCTAGAAGCTGCATTCATTACGTGACGCCATCGCAGAGAATCATCCTAGAAGAGTTACTGGACAGGTAGGTGAACGTAAAAGTTGGGTATCGAATCATTGTTGGTTGAGTCAGTACAAGGTTTCATGTTAAAGCAGATCAGATGAACTCCGTAATGCAAGTTTGGATTAGGTCACAACATGTCATAGGTAAATTGGTTGCAGAAATGAGTTGTCTTGTTGGGTCATCATCTGGCTCCGAGTAGATCACCACGCTTAGTATCTCGGACTTGCTGCACTTAACAATGTGGTGTGCTGGACTTATGCAGCATTCTCGACGTACCATACGACTGCTCAGCAGAATCTGAACTGCTGTACTCACTCATCGTCAAAGCGAGATTTGAGAACAATCGGTTCCAGAAGCCAAAGAACAAGCAGCCAAAGACATCAACAAAGCATGTAGATTGGTATTAAAGTTTCAAGCTTGTACAAGCAGCATCATTGCAAAACTCAATGACTGTAAGGTAAGATAACAGCATCCTTACTGATCACAAACGGCTGTGTTTCTGTGTGGGTGTACACATATAAGCTAGCTACTTTGATATGACTCTCATGAATCTGTTTATGGAAGGGAAAATACTAGCAGCTGTGCTGAAGAAAGATTGACCCTCAGAGTTTTCTCCTCCATTCCCAAATATTATGTGCAGAACAGAGTGAAAGCAACAATGTTACCATTTGTTCTGTCCCTGTTCCCTGATATACTGAATTTATCATTATGCTGGTGGAACTAACCTCGATTTCGTCAACATCAGGGCGCTTTATGAACTCTTTAGCAAGTAGATATCGGTTAGGCCTCTCTTTGTCATCAAAAAACACATTCCACAATCTGGTAAACAAATCAGAGTACAGAAAAGTTTAGAAACTTCAGGATGCTGGTATAAAAGGCAAGCAGCAAGATTTCTAGACCTATAATAATGTGCCTAACAGTTGGTTTCTTTTTACCGTCGATAACACCTGAAGACAGCACCTTCTGGCAGTGGTCACTGTGTTTAAAGTGCTGCAACATGCCAGATTCGAGAAATCAGATACAGTTAGTTCATCAATGCCATGAAACAGCAAGGAAGATAAATGCATTCTGTGTGGATTTGCCTCCCTTTTTACTTCGAGAAGTAGCGCCTGAGGTTGCGAACATTGATCCCTACTCCAACATCTTCACTAATGAGGCATGAATTCCACATGATTAGTTGCCTTGGCTGGATAGAAGAATATAACTACAATCAAGATATCAACAAAATGTATACTGATGAGGTCACGAGGATATGAATCCAATTTCAGCTTAACTGTAGTACCAGATCGTCTGAAAGACTGGCTGTGATTTTCTCCACTGATGAGACCATTTGGTAATCAGGAACAAGCATAACCACAACCTCATCTTCGCTATCAACTGGCTTCCTGTCGCCCAATCTGATGATAGGGAACCACTCATCTTGAGTGACAAAATTTGCTTCAACATCTTCAATATGCATAGTGAAATGGAACCCATGATTGAGAAGTGCAGCAGCACCAGCATCTGGGCATATGGCTTTCACTCTCTGAAGCAACAAACCAAAGCATTACAGTGTTATCACTAGAATGTAAAAGAAATGTTGAGCAGTTAAAAACTTACTATCAATGATGGGAGAACTGGAACCTGGGTTCCTGTCTATTCCATTAGGCTTTCCAGGAAAACCATTGAGATATCCCATAGTCAGCTTACGCACCTTCATTATCTAGAAACTGAAGCTGTGGGATCAAAAGCTTCACCAACAAAAAATTGTTGCCACCAAAGAGCTTCAGTCACTTTGCTTGATCAACGTAAATGGCAAATGGGCCAGATTTCTTGTATCTGACAGATCCAAAGCCTGAACCAAAAAGGAGCGTAATGGGCCTGATGCGGTAAATTCAAGCCCAATAGCTTCAAATTTCGGAGATCGGAGTGAAGAAATAAACGATATAGCCGTTAAAGATAGAAAAAGCCTTTTCCATTTTCTATCCAACGAAATACGATCCGCTTCTTTCAATTCAAACTTCCCCCAAATAGGAAGGAGAAAGACCCTCTACTCCAAATCTCTTTCTTTCTGCTCTGCTCTGCTCTGCTCGGTTCTCTTTCTCTCTCTAGCGCATTCACCTTCACCAGCTCTTGCTCGCTCGCTGTCAAGGTTCTTCCTCATCTCTCTGTGCAAAATCGCATCCTGCATCGGTTTCTGATCCCGCATCCTGCATCGCTTTTTGATCCCGACGCCATGGAAGGTACTGCCTGCGGGGCTTGTCTCGGCTCTCTTCGATATCTTCCGTTTTCTTGGTTCCTTGATGCCTTCGATTTCCCGAACTGGAAATGGTTGAATGTCGCTGAGCAAAATTCTCCGATTGTTTGAATCAGATCCGGTGATGGAACTGCTCCCGGAGAGTTGCTGCGATGGTGCTGTCTCTGTACACTTCCAGCCGGAGCCTTCTTCTTTGTCGTTTTCTTCCTCAGGTCTGTTTTCTTGCTCTACGTTCTACATAAGAAAAGATTTCTTTCTGGTTGGAATTTTTCGTACAGTGGAAATTCTCTTGAGAGGTTGTTTGGAGAATTCTTGGTAGTGTTTAAAACCCTAGGTTGTTATGTCTCCTGTTTGATTTCACTGTCCTCCTTCGCCCTCTTCATTTCTTGGCTTTTGCCGACGACTATGGATGTTGATTCCCTGCTCTTTTTTTATATATTTTGTTCTCAGATCGAACTCCAGCTGCTGAAACAAGGGAAGGAGGTAAAATTGCTATTTGGGATTATTGTGTTTGTCATTTTGAATTGGATAGGGTTACTGCAGTGTGTCTTTGTTCTCTTTCTGCAATGTAAAAAAAAAATGGTGTGACCTTTTGGCCAGTTGTTCTGGAGCCAATTGAGGAAGCCACCAGTTCGATGGAGGAAGGTAGCTTTTCAAGTGGGAATAAAGAGGTTTCTTCATGTCAGGAGCCTACACTGCCCTTAGTTCAGAAAATTACCAATTTGAGCACTAAAATTCAGGTAAAATTGATTGGCTGGAATTCTATCTCGTTTATATAAGTTTACTGGTTCACTTAAACTTTCTGCATCTATGGAAAAACGGAAAGGGTCAGGATTCACAGTTGGGCGGCTTTAACATTCATCTGGTGGTCCAAACTGGTTTAATGCTTGTGGTAGTTGAAGAATGAGCATGCAGTTCTCTCAGATCTTCTCACTGATTCTTTTTACTTCAGAACTTGAAGAATGAGCATGCAGTTCTCACAGATCAAGTTAAAAATATCTCAACGGACTTCTTTGCCCAGCCTGAACTTTTGGGTGCTCTTCAACTTCTTGGTGAGTTTTTTTATCTTGGTACCTTAGTTCACCAATTTCATTGAGATCATTTTCGCACCCAATTAGCACAAACTTTCTTTCGTCTAGTATGGGATTATTAGGCCAATATCTTTTAGTACAAATTATGGAAGACGGACATCTTTTTGGTTTTTTGTGACATCTTTATAGGTTTTAGGGCAATTTGAGGGGTTTTGAGGGTGAAATTATGGTTATTTTCAGTTTCCACTTTCCAGCAACATGACACCTGTTGTTGGCTTGCTGCACCAGGTAAAGAGCATGAACATCTAAAGAAGAAGTTTGTGCAACAGCAAGCTGAGAGGAAGAGGCTTTACAATGAAGTGATTGAGCTTAAAGGAAATATCCGGGTATTCTGCAGGTGTAGACCACTAAACCAAGCTGAGGTTGAGAAAGGTTGCAATGATGTGGCTGAATTCGATTCGTGCCAAGATAATGAGCTCCACATTCTTTCCGCTGATTCTTCAAAAAAGCCATTCAAGTTTGACCATGTTTTCAAACCAGATGATAACCAAGGTCAATTTTGGATAAGATCTCATTACTTTAACGAATAAGACCACGTTTTACTCCTATTAGATTTCTTAGCTCCGGATCTTGTGAATTTTGCAGAGGCTGTATTCACTGAAACCAAACCCATTGTGACTTCAGTGTTGGATGGCTATAACGTCTGCATCTTCGCCTATGGACAAACTGGAACCGGGAAGACATTTACTATGGAGGGCACACCTGAAAACAGAGGAGTGAACTATCGGACTCTGGAAGAGCTCTTTCGTGTTTCTGAAGAACGAAGGGGATTTATGAAATACGAGTTATTTGTCAGCATGTTGGAGGTTTACAATGAGAAGTTGAGGGACCTTCTTGTGGTGAACCAGAGCGAGACTTCAAAAAGGTACATTTTATCGTCAGCGTTGAACTTGTTTGTTAAATAATGGTTAGCAAATAAAGATGAGTTTGGCTTTTAGGTGCTTAATGTTACAAAAGTCTATTAGATGGGGTTTAAACAGATCAATTAACAATTTGTGTTTACGTTGCATGAAGGTTGGAGATAAAGCAAGCTGCGGATGGAACTCAAGAAGTGCCTGGGCTCGTTGAATATCAAGTGTCTAGCACAGAGGAAGTATGGAAGATACTTCAGTCTGGAAACTGCATCAGATCAGTTGGTTCCACAAGCGCCAATGAACAAAGCAGCCGTTCTCACTGGTACAGTACCACTGAATCAGCTGCCACTGTTTACATTCATCTTTTATCCTTCTGTATTAAGCGCCAAAACCATGTACTTTCTCGTGCAGCTTATTACGAGTGACAGTGAAAGGGGAGAGTTTAATCGACGGGCAGAAGACAAGGAGTCACCTCTGGCTTGTGGACTTGGCTGGAAGTGAGCGTGTTGGGAAAATTGAAGTAGAAGGCGAGAGGTTGAAGGAATCCCAGTTCATAAACAAGTCTCTCTCAGCCCTTGGTGACGTCATTTCTGCTCTAGCTTCTAAATCAAACCACGTTCCTTACAGGAACTCAAAGCTTACTCACTTGCTGCAGAACTCTCTCGGTGAACCACTTTTCCCCTCAGGCATGAAGTCCTTCGAGTCAATTGAGAGTTATTAAAAGTCTTGCTAACAGAGATGGGGGTGTGTGATATGAAATGCAGGAGAAGATTGCAAGACCCTTATGTTTGTCCAGATAAGCCCTAGCTCGGCTGACTTGGGAGAGACCCTTTGCTCACTGAATTTCGCAACGCGTGTCAGGGGTGTCGAAACAGGTCCTGCCCGCAAACATTCGGATCATAATGAGCTCTTGAAGTACAAGCAAATGGTACTACTTTAAACACGATCACAATTCCTTTTCTTCTTTAACAAGTTATCTGCCCCTGTAACTCAATTCCTTTGATGGTAAAATCACATAGGTGGACAAGCTGAAGCATGACGAGAAGGAAACAAAGAAGTTGAGAGACAATAACCACGCTTTACAGCTGCGGCTCACTACCAAAGAATCCATGTGCAGGAGTCTTCAAGAAAAGGTAATGCATGAAACTAAAGCTAACCAAGTCACAACTCTTGGTTCTTACCGCTCCTTCTCTTACTTAATGAACAACCAGACGAACTGAAAATGAATGATTTGGTTGGCTGGTTACGTTGGAATTAGGTACGGGAGCTCGAGAACCAGCTAGAGGAGGAAAGGAAGACTAGAATCAAGCAGGAAAATAGAGCTTTTGCTTCCATGGCTTCTGCTCGGTCTTTGTTCTCATCCATAAGACCAACTTCAGCAGCAACAGAGAATAGCTACAACAACAACAACAACAATGGAGGAGAGAGAAAGCCGCCTCTCGCTCCTCCTCCTTCGAAGCTGAGGATGCCACTGCGTGGAATTACAAACTTACCTTCGACGGGTGGCAGGGGAGCCACCGCCACTTGGAAGAGAAAGGAGAACGTGGTGCCTACTAGACCCTCAGCCGTCACCACAGCAATCCCACCACCACCACCGGTAGCGGCAAACAACAGCAAACTGAAAGCTCGGCGTGGTTCCTTCGCAGTCCGACCTGCTCCTCCACCAGCAGAAGTCCGTCTGCCGAAGCGACGAGTCTCCCTCGCCACGCTCATCCCCGAACCAAGCATGTCATCATCATCATCATCAACCATGTCGACTCCTCTGATGGCACAGCGGCGGCCTTCGTTCGTCAGGAAGCAGAGGTATTCGAGGTTGTTCTCGCCATTGCCGGAGGCTTCCGAGACGCCCGCGAGGACGGTGGCGGAGACGCCTGCGAGGATGAGTAGCAAGTTCATGGGGAGCCCACCACCGCCTGGTTCGTGGAAGCCGAAGCATCCTACGGTGGTTGCGCTGCAGAGGAAGTCTCTGGTGTGGAGTCCTCTCAGGTTACGAGGGGCGAAGAATAACGGTGGTGACGCCGTCCGGCGGCCTTCTCTTGTCGCTGCTGTGAGGAACCAACGTTAACCTGAAAACTTGGATCAAAATGGGTCTTGGGATGATGAATGTGTTGTTGTTTCTGTGATTTAACCTCTTACATTTCTGTTGGATGTGGCGATTGATGACAAAATGGTCTCTTCTCATTTGCTAATCATCCTTTACTTAAGGATAGTTGTTAGAAATTAGCCTGATTGATGATCTTCTGTAAGATGCATAGTGAATGAATAGCTTCCCCGTTCTCCTCTTGTGTGTTCAACTTAATCGGAATTAAGCCTTCTAGTTTAATTCTACTTGAAGCATTGCTAATGTGTTTCAATGGGTATCATATCATCGTAATACCGTTATTAACGCAACATAATATAACATATTAAACTTGCAGTATATTGGCATAATACTGCAAAATTACTTTAATAGTGAACAAAATTAGCAAAACAATAAAAATTTTATTCAAAATTCGTAAGCAATGAAAATAATATCAACATATAATCAAATTATTATACTATTATAACCCTAATAAAATAACTTATTCATCACAATTCTTAATACACATTTTTCTTCCCACTTTCTTCTATAAAACACAATTTTCCTTCTCATTTCCTTAACCTCCAAATTGCTCTTCCCCTCCCCTCTATTTTCCTCTCTTCCTTCGAAAACAGAGTGTAAAAAACAGAGGAAAGAAAGTTTATGGAAAACTGTGCTTTCCATCCCACTTTTCCCTCCCCTCCCCTCCTTTTTTCTCCTTCTTGAACACATTGTCAGTAAATAAAAAACCTAACAGGAGAAAATCGAAATGTTAAGTTAATTAAAAGAAAAAGAATGCTCTCACCACAAAAAAAAATTCAATCGATTACCGAAAAGAAAGAAAGAATGCAATCTGTTAGACTGTTACATATCCCACTCCCACTAAAAAGAAAAAGAAGGAAATAACGAAAGCATTGAATCCATTCCGTCCCGGTTAACAATTAAAATTAGAAATTATTTATAGCCCAATCACTGGACGCCATGTGGGCTAGGAGCAGCAACGGGCGGCAACCCGGCTCTCTGCCAAGTTTCGCCCCTTTTCCCACCGCCGTTCCGTCCTCCCTTCCGGGGGACCAAACAATGGCGAGAACCCAAGTTCGACTCCTCTTATGGAAACGCCTTAAACCCTGCTACAGCTTCTCCCACCTCTCTTCCTCGCCGTCCGCCCTTAAACCCTACTCCACTTCTTCCGCCGCCGTGTCCTTATCTTCCGACCTTCCGAAACCCTCTATCCTTTCCGCCCGCATTAGCTTCCTTTCCGATCAAATCGATGCCATTGAGCGCGAACGCGCCGGGAAGCACGAAACCCTGCAAAATATTCCAACTTGGCGCCGGTCCAAAACTGACAACCAGCAGCCTCAAAATCAGGAACGGAGAGAAGAGCCTAGTTTCCGGAAACCTGAAGTAGTAGTAGTTAGCTCCTCGCATGATGAAGAATCCGATGCTGGGTACGGTTTTGATGTGAGCAGTTCTGGGTCGGGTGTTGAGCTGGGTACGGTTTTGCATCCGTGGCCGGAATGGATAGAGTTGATGCAGAGATTGGCTCTGCAGAATTACTTCGATCATAAGAGGAGTACAGAAGAGGACGAAATGGTTGAGAGTTTGGGAATTGATGATGGCTTTGAAGATGTGAAGGCAGCTGTTGAGAAGAATGAGATAGGTATTGATTTCGCTAAAGATTTTAGAACCGTCCAGAATGCTTTTGTCAATTTCGGCAAAGACAGATTCGATATCTTGAGGTTAGTTTCTGTTCCATTTTGCTGCTTCAGTTTCAGTCTGGTGATGTTTTCCTCAACACTGATCACATCCACACAGATGATTACGATGATTTAGGAAGCTGATATGATTAGGGCTGTAATTAGGAATGACAATAGGGCTGGAGGGGATGCTGTTGAGTAGTGCGCAATACTGGTTCTGCTGGTTATTTTGTTTGGAGGCATGAGTCTCGGGGCAGGTCGATCTATTATGCGACAAGTCATCCTGAGAAAATATAGATAGTGATTCAATTTCGGAAACACCTTAACTTCTGTTTTATCCTAATATGAGCCAGCTACAGCTTATCGTGGTTCTGAAATTTTCTATATCATAGCACAATCTGAAGAAGAGTTGTTATATTAGTCTCATTGGGTTTGGATGTGATTTTATATTGGTTCATCATTAGGTCATTGTCGAGAAAGGATCTCCAGCTGTTGGTTGGCTATGGATGCCCAACTGCAGACAGAAGGGTCATTATGTCTGCCAAACTCCTGAGGAAGCATGTCCACCTTAATGAAGACGATGTGAGTTAGTCACTTGTGAATGTTTGACTTTGCCCATAAATATGTTTGAGCAGGAGGTGGAGAAAATGTTTGCTTTTCAAGGCACAAGTTAAAAAGTTTGAACTTTTCATCTGTACATCAGGTTTGTAGCAGCTGCAGCTTGAGGAGCTCGTGTGGGAAAGCATTTCTGCTGACAAATAAAGAGGAGGAAGCACACACCATCGATGTATTGCGGGTTCTCTTGGCTTACGGCTCTGATCGTACAAATGAGTCGGTAACTTCCATCAAAACTGTGGTCCGGAAGCTATTTCACGAGATTGTAAAGCTGAGTGGAGATCCTATCAATCCGAATCTCCCTCCTCCTGTGATCAAGAAACCTCCTCCAAAAGTGAAGCAGCCTCCTACGCCGCCGAAGGTACAAGTTGGACGTGATGATATCGAGATGAAGAAAGGCGATTGGCGCCTCAAGTATGTCACCAGTTTATGATATTATTATCTTTTTTTATAAGGGTGAACACCCGTTTATGATATTATGACCAAGTCATATACAGATAGATATGGTTTCTAAGTTTGCTTTTCTTTGTTGCTGAGAATACTGGATATCTGGATTTTATTTGTTTCTGCAGATGTGACTTCATGAATTTCACGAAGAACACTGCATGTTTACAATGTGATGCCAAGAGGCCAAAGAGAGAGTTGCTTCCTGGAGAACGGGAATGCCCTCAGTATGTTTTTTATCTTCATTGCTCTTATTTAGGGTGTGTACAGTTCTAGAAAAACTGTAGAAGGAAATATAATTAACGGGGCAATACTAATGTGAGTTTTAGCTATTTCAAGTCCGTGGTTCACCGTGATAGTTCTAAAAGGATTGAAGGAAGAAGTGTGTTTCAGCTTTTTTTAACTGAAACATAGCACACCGTTATTCTTGGCCTAGTCATGCTTTATGCTAACTGGTGATTTCTCTTTCTGTTTCTTTCATGGCAGGTGTAACTTAAACTATAGGAGAAACATGGTATGCCTTCATTGTGATTGCAAGCGTCCACATGAAGAATTCTTGGAGAATAGAATGGAGGAAAGGAATCGTGAGCAGAAAACAAGGTTCGAGAAGGATGCAACTCGTCCTGAAGTGTCGAATGCCTGGAACTTCAATTTAAATGACGACGAGTCAGATGGTGCAGATGTTGCTGCTTTTGAGAATGCAGACTCTGTATTGAATGATCACGAACCTCCTATGTCCGCTGCTCCAGCTCAGGGAGAAAACTTCAGAGACCGTGAAATGGGTGCCAGAAATCCAAGCAGGTATTCGAATTCACAACCAAGTAGATCTGGAACAGGGATAACTCTGACGCATCAGATTGTTCACTCAACCTTGCTTAATTGCTCTTCTGACTTGATTGCCTTGAGCTTTTTCATTTGGTCGGCTAAGCAACCTAATCATTTCCACGATAGACGAGCATTTGACCATATGGTTGGAGTTGTTTGGCGTTTGAGTTCTAAGTACCATGTTAAAGGTATCGTTAGGGAGCTCGAGACCATTGGTATAGCCACCAAGGCACCGACCTTCTTGCTTTTACTGCGGGTTTATTGGTGTGGAGGCATGTACCCTATGGTTTTAGAAACTTTTAAACAGATGTGTTATTTCGGGTTTACGCCAAACACATTTGCTTACAACGTGATCATCGATATCTCGTTCAGGATGGGGGAGACGCATGTAGGTATGAAGGCTTTGAAGGATGTCCCATCACCAAATTTCTTGAGTTACAATATCGCATTGTGTCACGTGTGCAAGTCGAATGATCTGGTTCATATTAAGGATGTTCTGTGCAGGATGGTGAGCAAGGGTTACTATCCCACTGCTCAGACTTTTGAGACTGTTCTGAATTGTTTCTGTAGGGTAGGTAACTTAGGAGGGGCATTTCAAGTATTGGGTTTAATGGTTGTATTGGGAGCTTCACTGTCTGTCATGATTTGGACTAAGTTGATCGGTGGATTCTTCAACTTGGGTGAACCTGTTAAGGCAGGTTTTCTGTTTAAGAAGATGGTTGAGACGGGTTGTTCTCCGAATGTAGTTACTTACACAACTCTCTTTAGAGGATATGTAGAGTCCGGAATGGTCGATGGGGCGTTTACTGTTTTGACTGCTATGGAATCTGGGGGTCTTGCTCCTGACCTGGTTCTTTGCAATGTTCTGATGCATAGTTTGATTAAGATTGGGAGGGAAGATGATGCTGCAAGTTTATTTGTAAGTATGCTGAAATGGAATTTGGTACCTGATTCTTTCACTATGTGTTCTTTGCTGTCGACCCAAGGTTCTTCTAGAAACTTCCTCTTGTGGTTAAAGCTGCTTGCCAGGTTTATCATGTTAGATGATCCAGTTCTCTATAACTCGTTGATACATTATTGTTGTTATGCTGGGTATCCGTTTCTTGCTGAGTGGTTTTATGAAGATATGGTAGAGAAAGGGTTCATGCCAGACAACTATAGTTTTGCTGGATTGCTTAGAGCGCTATGTGCACAAGGAAGAAGTGATAAAGCCGTCAATGTGTATCTTGGACTTCTTAGGACTGGCCATGATCTTAACACTCGTGTGCATACTGTAATTATGGTTTGTCTTATACAAAGTGGTGACTTTGACAGGGCAATAAAGTTGTTTAGGGAAGCTGTGGTGCAGAAGTACCCATTAGATGATGTGTCGTACACAGTTGTCATCCGGGGACTGTTTGAACGTGGGAGGACAGAAGAAGCAATAAACTTGTATGACAAAATGAAGTCTGTTAATTTGTCTCCTAATGTGCATACATATAAAGTAATGCTTCATGGGTTGTCCGTAAGGAGAGACCGTGAGAGGATTGAGAAGTTGTTGGAAGATATTGTTGAGGCTAAGGTCCTGCTGGATGAGGGGATGCAATGAGAAGGCAATAATGGAGGGGAAGTGCGAGGGCGGGTTCAAGATTTCAAGACTGTTACTTGGACTGTGTGGGTTCTAAAGGCGGGCGGGAATTGTTTCAGGGTGTAAAGAGCCCTACAAGGATCTTGACGAATATGAGGAGATGGATGAGGAGAAAGATCACGACTGCGATGAAGAAGAGAAGGGAAAGATCTAGCTCTGTGCTGTCCAAATTTTGGACAAATGGATTTCATTGCTGAAGTCTATTAAGCGTATAAGCCACCCGCCTGAGTTTGATCACACCAAGTGCTTGATCGAGACCAAAGGAACTATGGGTCTGGTAACTCTGTGTGGTCTAAATATGGGTATGGCGCCGGCGCTAGCGCCGGAGCTAATGCATTTGAGCATTCCCAAATTTCGGTGAGAAGTGTACAAGACCCTTGACCAGTAAAGTCTCTGTTTCTGCTGCGATTCTCAGTCCGTACAGGTATCCTCGACTCACTCTCTCTCTCAACCAGAAAGTTTGATTCAGTTTGCTAATTTTCAAATTAAGGGCTTCAGTATTTCAATTATGAGGATTTTTTTTTTTTTGTTCCTTTTCTCTGTTTGCTCTCTGTATTTCAATGGATGCGGCAATTTATTCTTGTACTAGGTCTTGTGATGGCTGCTGTTTCCAAATCAGTTATATTTCCATCAAGTTCTTACTGTGTCACTTTTACCCTTGCTTATATCACCTGTGCCATATATTCTCACTGAGCTATCTTCTAAGTTGATATAATATAATACTTCAGGTGGTACATCTCTGGGGAAACAGCATTGTGTCTGTGGACCGGCACCTTGTATATCACATATTTAAAGATAACATCTCGAGATTTTGGTATGATTACTTGTTGAGAGCTTGTCTCTACTTGTTGGAGTTTGTTTTTAAATGGAATGAAACTATGTTCTAATTGACACTCCATTCTTTCTAGGTGGAAGGATGCAATCGCCATACTGCTGGTGATTACTTTGTTAATCTTCCTTGTATTTCTACTTCTTCTCCTGCTCTTCCATAGGTATGTAAATTCTGGCTTTTCCCCCACAAATAGCTGGTGCTGTGTTTGTTGCATTATACCATCACGCAACTCTCTTGAAAGCTATTGTCTTTCACCTCTGGCCATAAAAATTTCCACCATATATTACAGTAAACTTCCTTCTACTTCCTGAAAAGGTGAAGGATAAAAGTCTCTATTGCTGCAGGAAGTACCTTTCCCGAAAACGAACCTTTCGGAAGCATTTAAACAATCCACTAACTCTTGTTTCTGGTACAGCTATCTTATTTTCACCAACTAGACCACCTTTGAACTAGTAAGACGCTAGGCGGATCCCAGATTTGAGCTACCGTGTAAAGCTGCATACTGAGGACCTTGCTTAGGTCCTGGCTACTTTTTCCAACATGCCCTCTTGTTGATCCACCGGGGTATTCCTGAAACTGTGTATCCCTTCAGTAAGGGAGTTCTGGGACAACTTGTATGGTTTTTTGTTGTGCTCCTAGAAGCATGTACAGTTTGGAAAAGAGCATGCCTTCCAGGGTTGAACTTGAAGAGAGGTCAAGACCTTACACGTGCTTTGGATATTTTGACAGGCCGTTGCTGCCAAGAGCTTTGTTGCATTGTAGATTTACTCGTGTGCAGACTATTCACGCTAGAGTCCATTAGGAAGACAGTTTGTTCCATCAATCCATTTGTCTCCTCTCTGGAAAAGAACAACACTTTTGCCGCATCTTTAGAAGGATCTGCAGGTAGGGTTAAGGCAATTGTGTTCTTGACTTCAGTATTGTTAAGTCTTGGTAAGTCAGGTACGTCATATTTGTGTAACTTTTTGTATATGCTAATGAGGATGGAGGAAATTGATTGTATCACTGTAGTTTAACTGTAACTATTTGCAAGCAAAGCAGCGAGACCATTGTTACGAATTGTAAAATTATGTCTCACCCTATATGATATTAAGACATATATAAGTAAATATATCTTATTTTTAATTTAAAAAATATTATATATTTTTTTTACCATAGATTGCTTTGAATTTATGAACTAAATAAATATGACACTTGGCCCAATATAACATGTGATTTGTTAATGATAAAAATTTGACTATTTTTGTATCATGTCATTAATCACATGTATCATACATGACATACAAAATGAATATCCAACACTAGCCAAATTCTTAGTAAACGAGTTTAGCTTGAGCTCGACTCCTTAATAAACAAGTTGAAAGCCAAGCCCGAGCAACGATAAAGCTTAACTCGACTAGACTTGTTTGCAGTCCTGCAAGTGATTATGGACGACTGACTTAGATCGAAGCTTGGACTATTAAATAATTAGTAGTGGTGGGAGAGATGATGTGCAAATTTAAATAATTGATTTTTATGTTTTTAATTGACATGTCAGCTAATTAACGATCAAGCTTAATCATTGACGGTCATTTAAGGATGAAGTTAACTGAATCAAATGTCTAGTAATTAACGATGAAATGAAATCTAAAGTGAGTGATTAATAAGAAAGAAAAATATTTTTGACGACAAACATGAAAAAGTTGACAATATGAATGACTAAACGTGTAATTTAGTTCAAAACTAAAGAGAAAGTCATTCGTGAATAGTGAATAACAAATACTGAAGGAAATTATACTTTGTGGTTATTTGCTTGGTGCGCCAAATATCAAATTATCAATACAGCACATTAAGTGGCGGTGGTGTAGTTTCAACCTCCACCGTCGGATCCACATCTCGATAAACGACCCAGATTAGCCGACCGTTATTGCATCGTTTCTTCTCGTTTTTGGCTTTCCCACTCTCCCAAACAGAATTCAAATTCAACCGTTGCCCTTTCCTTTCCTTCCCTCTTTGTTAAGAACTTTCGAACGTTGTATTCCAATCTCTCTCCCACGCCCTTCTCTCTGTCGCAGCAGCAGCGAAACCCGAAGAAACAAAGACAAAAAAAGAAGAAAAAGAAAAAATGGTTCTGAAATCATCGGCGGGAGATTCTCCTTCCTCACCGGTCAAGATCACCGTCTCCTCCGGCGGTAATGCGACTGGAGGTTCAAGAAGGAGAAGCATGGGACTAACAAGCCCCATCTCGAGGCCTTCGATTTCCAACAATCCTAACTCCCCCACTCTCCAAAAACCGGAGATCTTCCATTAGCGGAGGAGGGAATTGAAAATAACACGGGACAACGAGTTTTACGTGGTATCCTCGATCGATTGATTGATCGAGACTAATCCACGGTGAGCTCGGAACGAGCTCACGGCTGACGATTTTATTATGAGACTACATTGTGACGGCTTGCTTATGACAGAACCATAGCTAAGCTTTTATAGAGAACGACTTAGGGTTAAAACCCTAAAGACAACCAAGTTCCCTCTTTTACCCGGACAAGGAAACAAGGGACTTGTTGGACAAGGAATTAATTACATTTTGACTAAGTAATTAATATCCTCAACACTCCCCCTCAAGCGAAGACATGAATGACAAGAATGTCGAGCTTGAAGCTGAACAACACTCAAACAACCTCTTGCTGGCAATGACGATCCAACAGGCGGTGATTTTGTTTGCTTGTGGGAGAGGTAGACAAATGATGAAACTACTTCATGCTTGACCCAGTTCTTTTGACAGTGAACTCAGCATGGTGAAATTCCTTGACGTCTTGGATGAGACTGATCTGACTCCATGCTTGACCTAGTTCAACAATAGTGAACTCCACATGGTGGAATTACCTTGACGTGTTGGATGAGACTGATGACTGCGTTGCTGACTTTGGAGACTTCTAAATGCACTGCTGACCGTGCTTCTCCGAGCAACGTGACTGAGTTGGTACATCGCGGTCGACTTGATGACTGAGCTAGTCGACCGACGTATGTTGACTCCCTATTCTCCCCCTCAAGCTGGAGCATGAACAATGTGAATGCCCAGCTTGAAAGTTAGAACGATGATGACTCAACATTGACCGATGCTGAACGTGGAGGGGACGATCGCTTCTTTGATCGTGACTGCCTCGCTTGATAACTTGAACTTCTTTATTGACGAAAGTTGTGTCTCCCCAACACTAGCAATTGAAGGGACGACCACGGCAGGTCGCGATTGTCTTCAATGCCATGACTTTAATCGATGTTGGTGAAGATTTTCCTCTCCAAGTGACCTTGACTGGCCATAATGACAACTTGACTCCAGCTGTGGACAAAGTATGAATTCCATGGCACACCTCGTGGGCTGTAAACTTCGGAAGTATCCCTGAACTGAGTGTTGATGGTGAGGATACTAGTCACAATAAACAAGCTGGACAAAGCACATGTGACTACGTGTGCAATAAATTATGGAATCAATGAAGGAATAGGTCACCAAAAGCAAACAAACTCTATGCTATCACAGTTTCTCCCAAAACTGATCCTTGTGCACTGCGAACACCACCACAACCACCATAAACATTAACCTGGACCACGTGCAATGCCAATGCCCCACGACAAATTGTGATTGCTCGCCGGAACGATGACAAGTAAATTATGGTGACCCACCAACCGGTCTTCACTCCTCAAGTCGTCCTCGTCAAAGTCCTCACATCGGCGCCCTCGTCAGGTTGATTGAAATCCAACGGCCGTCGAAAATCGTCGGGCGGTGACTTCTCGACAAAACCTGCCTCTTGATTTTCACAAGCTGAACGAGAGTCACCCCCACGGTTGTGATTTGATTGAAACGCTCCTGGCGCCTGATCTGATTCTGTTTGAGCTTGGCCTTCCTGTTGCCAACGACGAACAAGACTTCGGACGAGGACAGCGCCAATCGAGACGAAGAAGAACAGACCGAGCAGTAGCGAACTCATGATCGCCATGGATGGCAGCTGGGCTGCGGGCGATGGATTTGCCTTGAACGGCAACTGGGCGATGAGAAACAAATCAGAACTGGCAGCGGCAGTGCTGCGATGACTCCAGCTCTGTTGCGGTTGACGATGAGGCTAGTAAAGAGCCGCTATGGCAATTCCGGAGACGCGACTGCCACTATCTCGTTAGACTGAAGACCTGGGACACAAAGGCGACTACCACCTACGAGCAAAAAAACCCACAATTTTTCACCGGGAGTTCAGCGGTGTCGGTAGGATTGACGACGACTAAAGGATGCCGAGGGCGCTGATGGCATGGACAGCGACCGAGACAGAATTGTAGGCCGGTATGAACCTCGGCTCTCCTAATGAAAACAACCATGAATGGCTTGCGATTGATGACTCACGGCGGAATGGACTTCGCCTAGGTCGACTATGCTCAGCGGGATAACATCGCTGGTGAACAAAACAGGCCAGCAGGATGACGATCGCTGGTGCGCGGAAAACTAGCTGAATCTACAGCTCTGATACCATGAAGAATTTGATGACGCGGAATTGAAAATAACACGGGACAACGAGTTTTACGTGGTATCCTCGATCGATTGATTGATCGAGACTAATCCACGGTGAGCTCGGAACGAGCTCACGGCTGACGATTTTATTATGAGACTACATTGTGACGGCTTGCTTATGACAGAACCATAGCTAAGCTTTTATAGAGAACGACTTAGGGTTAAAACCCTAAAGACAACCAAGTTCCCTCTTTTACCCGGACAAGGAAACAAGGGACTTGTTGGACAAGGAATTAATTACATTTTGACTAAGTAATTAATATCCTCAACAGAGGCAGCCGATACTGCTCAATTGCCGACGCCGGCACCGGGGAAGAGCTCAATTCCGAGTTTGTAACTTACACGGTCCACATCCCTCCGACCCCCGACCACCAGCCTATGGCAGCATCCCAGACCACCAGCCTCGCTGAGGAATTGAGAGACAAGCCCGACGGGAGCTTCATCGCCGGTACCATCTTCACCGGTGGGTTGAATTCCGTGACTAGGGGCCACGTCATTGACTTCTCTGCACCGGAGAATCAGCATCTACAGACTTCGAAATCCGGGCTGGTCTGCTGGATGAGGGGATGCGACGAGAAGGCCATAACGAAGGGGAAGTGCGAGTGCAGGTTCAAGATTTGTCAAGACTATTACTTGGACTGCGTGGGTTCTAATGGCGGCGGGAATTGCCCTGGGTGTAAAGAGCCTTACAAGTTACAAGGATCTTGACGGATACGAGGAGAAAGATTACGACGAATTCGACGAAGAAGATGAGGAGGAAGATCGAGCTCTACCTCTGCCCAAATTGGACTAAAGGCTTTCATTGGTGAAGTCTATGAAGCGTATGAGCCACCCGCCTGAATTTGATCACACCAGATGGTTGTTCGAGACCAAAGGAACTTATGGGTATGGTAACGCTGTTTGGCCTAAAGATGGGTATGGCGCCGGCGCCGGGGCTAATGGATTTGAGCAGCATCCCCAAATTTCGGTGAGAAGAGTAGAAGACCCTTGACCAGAAAAGTCTATGTTTCTGTGCGATTCTCAGTCCTTACAGGTACTAGATCAGGGGCCGCCCATTGGACGGATGTATTTCGTAAATAGCATAAATAACAATAACAATTATATTAAGCAATCTAAATTTATATTTGGAACCATAAAAATCCAAATGATTGAATAAAAAAATAAGAAAGAAACATATATGTCATAGAGTTTTATGTTATCCTAACATATGAATCGACGAAAGTTCTTATTTAAAATAAATAACTAAATCTATTAAATGGAACTCACTTCTAAAAAGCATAATTAAACCACACTTCGATTTACTCATTGATGTCAAAGACTACTCAAAATTTGTTTTTTGGCTTCTTTTTGATTGCTCGTCATAAGCAACATTATCATCTCAACCTATAACATAGCATTTATCTTTACATTCAAAGCAAAATTTTAAATTTCAATCATATTTGATGAAATCATATTTATAAACTTCAAATGTTGGAATATCATCGCAAGTTTGGAGCATATTATTTGATTGAAACATGATTTCCGATTTTTTTTTTGAAATTGGCATGTAATCTAATGTTGGTTTACTCGCTTTGAAGTTCTCAAAGGCACGCATACTATGTTATCTTGAAATAAATATTGTCACTCCTTAATAATATATTTGAGTATTTGCACCCAAATACCATTATCCTGAGAAAAAGTAACAATATTTATTGTATTTCCAAATTTTAATCGTAGAATCCAAATTCGTTTTGTCATTGTGAAAATATTAGTTTGTCTTTCCTAGTCGATAATCATCATATGAAGAATAGTATTTGTCTTGGAATCGATTGTGAGTGACTTTCCATAAATATGACTGGAGATACAACTCCCTTATTGAGTTATTCGATCAAATAAAATTTGGTTTTCACGTTGATGGTCCTTTAGTAGTGGGAATCTCATTGGAACATGAGAAATTTGTCACCTTAAAGATAGGGGTGCTCGCGAACAATGCTAAGATATTCAAGATATTCTTGTATGCATACCAATAATTTATGGAAGAAACTGAGAGATAAGACCCATGACATAGATAATCCAAAAATACAAAATAACGAATAACTACTAATACTTACCATTTATTTTTTTTATAAAAGCAAACCAGAGATATCCAATATACTATTTCCCAAGTCTTGGCTCAAAAATATACCCAAGTTGATTGTAAATAACTTCAATTTTTTATGTTATAAAACAAGACAAAAAATGCATGTCTATCAGCAATATTATCATAGCTTTCGAATATTATTGTGCTACAAAAACAATATCACAATGATTTCAGTTTTACTCTGTCAAGTTACAAAAGTTATACTCGAATTTTACAGATTTCATACCATATTGGTGTAATTATGTATTATTATCATAAAGGAACCTAAGACATGTCTGCAGCCATGTCTTCTAGAAGGATAATTTTTTATTTGAAACCATATCAAAACAAAAATCAATATGTAAATCACATTAATTTAAATTTTCTATTAAAATATGTAACTTTGTAATTGAAATGAAAGAGATACATACCATTTGGTGACGATAGGTTAAAAAAGAATAATGTATCGTACAAATTTCATACTATATTGGTGTGCTATGTATCATTGTAGTCAAGCAACTTAATACGTTGTTGTGATCGTGAATTTAGAAGGATAATTTTTTAATTTAAATAATATTTGAATGATGTCATTGTGCAATATAATTTTTCTATGCAAAAATATGTAAATTTTAAATTAAAATGAGAATATACATATCATTTAGTAATGTTAGGGTATTTAAAATTAGGACGATGGTGAGTGATAATAGTGTCATTAGTTTTTCAAATTATTTAATAAAGAAAGAATTTGAGTTCAACTAAAATTACTCACAACTAATTAAACTTGGGGTTAATACCTTATTATGGCCTGAACTATGACCATGTAATCAACTTTGACTCGTGGTTTGGGAAATTAACATCCTGGCCTGAACTATGCAGCATATTGACAGAATTGGCCTGGAGCGTGGTTTGACCGTTTGTTTGGACGGTCAACATCGTTGACCGTTAGTCAACTGTCCATGTCACTGCCATGTCACAAAAAAAAATTATAATTTCATTTTTCTTTTTATTTCCTTTACAAAATTGAATAATAAAGAAAGAAAAAACAATAACTTTTGGCCACCCATCCCCACCTTCTTTCCTTTTCGATCAAACCCAAACAAACCCTATCTTCCATCTTCTTCCCCGATAACCCGCCGCCTCCATCCTCTCCGACTTCAAATGCAGCGGCGGCCGCGTCGCACACTTTCATCAGAACCCAAACACGGGAACTCGCTCTCGGCCAACAGTGACAGGCCCAACCATTTCCCCTTCTCCAAGGATCCAAATCCCACTTTCAACTCGTCACTCGCTCTCGGCCCCTGGCTCTTCCCCGTCCACCGTAGCTCTCCACAATCTCCGCCGCCTTAGCAGCAGCGACTGAACGAAGGGCCGAAGATCTCGTCACTTGTTCCCGGCTTATCTTCCCCGTCTGCCGCAGCTCTCTCAATCTCCACCGCTGCAGTATCAGCAGCGACTGAACGAAGGCTGAAGATCGACGCAGCCTCGCCACCTCCGCCTGATTCAACAATCAAGTAACGCCCTTTTCCTCTTCTAGGTTTTCTTTTTAAGATTTGACTGAGGAAAACGTGATCTGGTTAGTTGCTTGAACTTACATATAAATGATCCGACTTCAGTACATCAACAGCTGGTAGGATTGGGGGTTTTGGTTTGGAGTTCAATTGGGGCTTTTTTGAAGTTCTAGTAATGGCTTGCTTTCTTGTAATTGTTGTGATGGAAGTCCAATACAAAGGCAGGACACTCGTTCTAGGGTCTACCACTCTTTCTTTAACTTCATTCTTAAAGCAGAAGAAGGAGGAAGGAGAATAATGGAAGGAGGAAGGAGAATAATGGAAGATAGGGTTTGTTTGGGTTTGATCGAAAAGGAAAGAAGGTGAGGGGATAAGGTGGGGATGGGTGGCCAAAAGTTATTGTTTTTTTTTTCTTTATTATTCAATTTTGTAAAGGAAATAAAAAGAAAAATAAAATTATAATTTTTTTTGTGACATGGCAGTGACCTGGACAGTTGACTAACGGTCAACGGTGTTGACCGTCCAAACAAACGGTCAAACCACGCTCCAGGCCAATTTTGTCTATATGCTGCATAGTTCGGGCCAGGATGTTAATTTCTCAAACCACGGGCCAAAGTTGATTACATGGTCATAGTTCAGGCCATAATAAGGTATTAACCCTAAAACTTGAGTTCAACTTTTGGACGCCATGCTAACATTCACTTTTTTTAGGGGTTATATGCGTAGTTTTTTTTATTATTTGTTAATCAACATGACAAAAATATTCTTCCTAAATTCTCTCTAAGAGCTAGAAAAGTTTAATTGAGTATTTCTTGATGGAAAACCTCCATAAATAAGTGGTAGGATCCTCGATTCACTCTCCTTCTCTCTCAACCAGAAGTTTTGATTCATTTCCTCTGTTTGCTATCTCTGTGTTTCAATGGATGCAACAATTTATTCTTCCTATCTACAATTGCAGGCTGCTCATTGTGTTCCGCCTGGCAGCACTCGGGTTGTTCCTCACATGGAGAGTCCGACACCCAAACCGCCACGCAATGTGGCTATGGGCGATGTCAGTAACTTGCGAGCTCTGGTTTGCACTCTCATGGATTCTGGACCAGCTATACAAGCTTTGCCCAGTCAACAGAGTCACCGATCTCTTCGTCCTCAAAGAGAGGTTCGAGTCTCCTAACCTCAGGAACCCAAAAGGAAGGTCCGATCTCCCTGGAATCAACGCCTTCGTCTCCACAGCCGACCCTGAAAAGGAACCACCTTTAGTCACTTTCAATTCTAGCAGTCGACTACCCAGTCAAAAAGCTGGCATGCTATCTCTCGGATGATGGTGGATCCCTTTTAACCTTCGAAGCTTTAGCTGAGACTGCGAGCTTTGCCAGGACGTGGGTTCCATTCTGTAGAAAGCACAAGATCGAGCCGAGGAATCCTGAGGCATACTTTGGGCGTAAGCGGGACTTCTTAAAGAACAAAGTGAGGCTTGATTTCGTGAGGGAGAGGAGGAGGGTGAAGAGGGAATATGATGAGTTTAAAGTGAGGATCAACTCATTGCCTGAGTCAGTTAGGAGGAGATCACATGCTTATAATGCCAATGAGGAGTTGAGGGCCAAGAAGAAGCAAATGGAAATTGGGGTTAGCAATTCAGCTGCTGATTCTGTGAAAGTGGTCTGTGTTAGTGTTGTGGTATATGATCCACGATTGAACTTCTCCCAATAACTCGAGTTATTGGGATCAACTGGTTCTTGACATGGTATCAGAGCCTTATGTAACCAAAAGGTCTTGTTAGAGAGTGGTATAAGATCCACGATTGAACCTCTCCCAACAACTCGAGTTATTGGGATCAATTGGTTCATGACATGGTATCCAAGCCTTATGTAACCAAAATGTCTTGTGTTCGATTCCCGGTGACCCCCATTTGTTAAGCACATGGTATTCTTGTCTTCAGACCTGTGCAAATTTCAAGCCCTTGTGAGTGGCTTTCGTTTGAGGGGGCGTGTTAGTGCTGTGGTATATGATCCACGATTGAACTTCTCCCAATAACTCGAGTTATTGGGATCAACTGGTTCTTGACAGTCTGATGGGTCTCTCTGGCCTGGGACTTGGAATTCTGGAGGGGCTGACCATTCTAGAGGAGACCATGCTGGTATCATTCAGGTAATATGAAGAACAATTTTATACATTTTCGATTAAAGATTGTTTGCTGGATCTTTTAATCTTTCATACTGAAATGCATTTGTCCATTGATTCTTTGAATGACACCAGGCTATGTTAGCTCCACCAAATGCGGAACCTGTTTTCGGGTCAGAAGCAGATGGAGAGAAATTGATAGACAAGACAGAATTCGACATCAGATTGCCGATGCTGGTCTACGTCTCCCGCGAGAAGAGGTCGGGTTATGATCACAACAAGAAGGCAGGAGCCATGACTGCATTGGTGAGAACAAGTGCAATCATGTCCAATGGTCCATTCATCCTCAATCTCGACTGTGATCACTACGTCTACAACTCCTTAGCCCTACGAGAAGGCATGTGCTTCATGCTTGATTGATCCCAGCGATCGCTATGCGAATCACTACACAGTGTTCTTCGATGTCAGCATGAGAGCACTGGATGGGTTGCAAGGCCAGGATTACTGAGCACCATGGATGGTTTGGGAGAAAGAAGATCAAGTTGTTGTTAAGGAAACCCAAGTCTTTGAGGAGGAAGAAGAAATACGGGATGATGATGAGATTTCTCTGCGAATCAATGAATATGAGAATGATGATGGGGATATTGAGTCATTGCTATTACCTAGAAGGTTTGGGAACTCAACCTCACTGACTTCATCCATTCCAGTGGCTGAATACCAAGGGAGGCTCCTTCAGGAATTGCAAGTGCATGGGAGACCAGTTGGTTCACTTGCTATCCCAAGGGAGCCATTGGATGCTACCACTGTTGCAGAAGCAATCAGTGTGATCTCGTGTTTGTACGAGGACAAAACTGAGTGGGGAAAAAGAGTCGGCTGGATCTATGGCTCGGTGACAGAAGATAGGGTGACAGGTTACAGAATGCATTATAGAGGGTGGAGGTCAATCTACTGTGTGACGAAAAGGGATGCATTTAGAGGCACAGCTCCAATCAACTTGACAGACAGGCTGCATCAGGTTCTTCGATGGGCAACCGGTTCGGTCGAAATTTTCATCTCGAGAAATAATGCACTGTTTGCTTCCCACAGGATGAAGTTCCTCCAGAGGGTTGCTTACTTCAATGCTGGAATGTATCCTTTCACGTCGTTCTTCCTCGTAGTCTACTGTGTTCTACCAGCATTGTCACTCTTCTCTGGCCAGTTCATAGTGGCTTCCTTGAATGTCACATTCTTGATCTACTTACTAGCGATCACACTCACACTGTGCATGCTGGCACTCTTGGAGATCAAGTGGTCAGGGATTACACTCCATGATTGGTGGAGGAACGAGCAGTTTTGGCTGATCGGTGGAACGAGTGCTCATCCGACAGCAGTTTTGCAAGGTCTGCTGAAGGTGATTGCATGTGTGGACATATCATTCACATTGACATCCAAATCTTCTGCTGCTGAAGAAGGTGGGGAAGATGAGTTTGTCGAGCTGTACGTGGTGAGATGGAGCTTTCTGATGATGCGTCCAATTACTATCATGATGTTGAACATGATTGGGATTGCAGCTGGGGTGGCTAGGACTATGTACAGTCCATTCCCACAGTGGAGCAGGCTGGTTGGTGGAGTGTTCTTCAGCTTCTGGGTTTTGTCGCATCTCTACCCTTTTGTCAAAGGGTTGATGGGCAGAAGGGGTAAAAGTCCAACCATTATCTATGTTTGGTCTGGTTTGTTGTCTATCATCATTCTTTGTTGTGGGTTTATATATGTCCTCCTTCTGGTGGTGCTCACCAGGATTTCGATAGTTTCTCGTTTCAGTTTCCTTGATCTGTTGAAACACTAGAATGGAAAGTAGATGATAGTTTTGAGTAAAAGCAAAAGGAACCAGCTAGCTCTGCAGAAGGGAAACATGAAGCTTTATAGACAGGGGCGCAGCAACAGCATCATTTCCATTCTCCACCTATTGTATCCATCCAACTTATCAGCTCTTTTCGATGAGTAAATTGATATTGGATGATAGTAATGACAATTTAGATTGCTAAGCAGCAGCTTACAGTACAATGACAAGCTTCTATCAGTGTTCAATTTCTAGTGTTTTCTCTGCATTATGTTCTATAGGTTAGGGCGCATTGGCATCCTCAATGTTCAAAATATGGATTAGACATGCGCCATATATATTTCATTAAGAATACTCAATAGTCAGAACCTACTGCAAATGCATCATAATTTTCAGCACCATCCATTTCAGATAGCAAAAATATGCCCTTCAAAGCGTTGCAAATTCTATCACACTGTGAATGTGAAACGGTCCCCAGCTAAAGAATTCATGAAACTCACCCTCAACATCTATCAAGCATCGACGAGGATTTTTTTTAAGGATTTTTTTTCAATGTATCACCCAAAAACTAAAAACATTCAAAAGCACTACTATTTCCAAATAAAAAAAAATCATCCATACCACAGTTTCACAAGGCGAATTCCTCGAAATAGTTGTATTTCCTCGTCTCGAGATTCGGTTCCACCTTCTATTCCGTTTAATGCTATTCGTGTGCAGTTTGATGGCGCTAATAAAATTCGGATGGGTGGAGCAATGGGATTTGTGCACTTTGTAGGCGAAAATGTTATATCCTTTGCTTTCGGTAGTTAATATCATCTCATATTTGATCCTTTTCTTGCAGAACTCTTGGCTCTTCGTGATGCAATTGGTTTTGCTTGTCTCATTCCTACACTAATGTTTTGTTTTGTGGTGATGCGCCGGTTGTCATACGGTTGGAGGGACTCGTTGCACGCGATGGGCGGAGTTATCCTGCAGGAAATTTAGGTTCTACAATCATCGTTTCAGCGTGCAACGTTTCACTTCGTGCTTAGGTGGTATAATGGGGTTGCCCAGTCCGTGGAAAAAAGGCCCTTGTATCGTTGAATCGTACACTTATCGTCGAACAACATTTTTTTTTCTAAATTCTTTTTTGTGATTTGACTTGAAAAGATTTAGTATATTCTCGAACCTATACTGTTTCCCTCCAGAAATACTAATGAAAAAGGGGTAAATGCCACATTTGGTCACTAAGATTACTAAATAATGTCATGTTTAGTCACTAGAAAAAATTAATATCAATTTTTGTCACTAGAGTTACTGAAACATGTCACATTTTGTCACTCTTCTGTTAGTTTCTGTCCAACTCCATCAACAGAGTTGAACGGAGGCTAACAGAGAGTGATTAAATGTGACATGTTACATTAATTCAAGTGACATTCATAAAAAAAAAGTAATTCGAGTGACCGGAGTTAGACAGAAGCTAACAGGACAGTGACTAAATGTGACCTATTTAAGTAATTCGAGTGACCAAAATTGATATTTATTTTTTGTATTGGCTAAATATAACATGATGTAATAATCTCAGTACCTAAATGTAATATTTAAAAAAAATGACAAAATGGGAAGTTACATTTGGGCCAAGGTGTAAATATGGCAGAATTTTGAATTCACATGGGGACATCGTGCAAATACGCATAAAACGGAGGGACCAAGACTGCAAATATGCGTAAAATATTTCAAATTCAATCCTGTGCGACTAATCTCATGGAACACAGGATTAGAACTCCAAGATCGAGCCGTTAAAATCATAATTTGGCTACGTGTACGGTTATTTAGAGCCTTTCTTCCCAGGATCCGATAAGGAAAGATGAAAATAACAGAATTCAGAAATTGGAAAAAACGAGGCTAAAGCCACTTCTTTATATTCAAGTTTCGCGGCAACGCCTGTTTACTTTAACTTTCTCTCTCTAACCAGCGCCTCCTTCACCCTCTCTCTCAGATAAACCCTTTTCGTCCCCTCTTTCCCGGTCTCCCCTTCTCGTGAAATTATTTCCTCCTGCTAACCAAAGAACACTGTGAACTTGAGCCCTGATCTTCTTTTTGGTGGGAATCGGCGAATTCTTTTTGCTGTGGATCTATTATTTCGGCTGTAAAGAGTGGCAAATTCTGAGGGTTTTTGCGAGGGTTTCTGCAGGTACATTTACTGAATTCAAACTTGAGCCTTTTCTTTTCGGACAATATATATTCATCTCAGCTGGTGCGTGGTTTTAGGTTTCCACTTGCTGTGTCTCTTTTGTTGAAAGCCAGCCGCTTGTTTGGGATTGTACTAGATGTATTTTTCTCGCTTTAAATTTGAAATTCTCTTTCTGTTTTCTGGACGGTTGGAGGCGGCAGCTCTTTCTGGGTTCCTTTTTTTGGGGGGGTTTTTTAGGGATTATTGAACATTTTTGGGATTCTTCCCGCAGCAGTTCTTGGACTATTGCGCGGGGTATTTAAAACCCCTTTTGAATTGTCCGAGTTTATCGTCTGTGAAACTTTTGAATGCTGGGGGATAAGTTGGGGTTTTGTGATTAGATAATTTGCGAGCATTTGACAAGAATTGCTTCTGAAGGGAAGAAGGAATTTTCATTATCTTCTATTTGCCTTCGGCTCTTGAGCTATGTGTAGTATTATGGAAATAATACTGATTATTACTTCTGTACATACATTTCAGATCGTCTAGCCAGGGGATCTCTCTGGGTTATGTTGAATTGCTATATGAAAAGGTAACCCGTTGATTGTTCGTCATGAAGCTGAATTCCCAGTTCTATAATGAGGCATGCCGCTAAGTTTACTTGAACGTGTTCCAGGAAATCAACATACAATGCCACCGAGTAGGAAAAAAAGTGTCAACAAGCAATTTCCTACGGACGTCTCTCCTCAGAAAAAGGCCAGGAACTGGGGAAAAAATGTGGAGCAAGTGACTGCAGTGGTAGGTATTTTCTCACGTGTGCAGGTCTCGCTTGTAATCTTGTACCTATAGTGGGTTGGAGTGTTTTGCTTATGTATGCTGCTGCTGTTCGGAGTAACGGTTTGGATTACCTTTTCACGTTTTAGGAAAGTTTGTTGATATGTTTAGCTAATTTGATATCTAGCTGAGCAGACAGATAGGCAATGTAGTTTCCTCTTTGGATATCTTTCTCAAGGAAATTTGCAGTTTTTCTTCTTCTGTTCTCTTCATAATTACTACAAAAACATACCAAATTGTGTCGTTTATGTTGGACTGTTCTGTTTTCACCAGAAGAGGAAGTCTGCCTATAAGTTGGGGCCACCCTGGCATGAAAATGAGATACAGAAGTTCTACAAAGCATATCGCAAGCATGGGAAGGACTGGAAAAGGGTACATGCTTCTAACCCGTTAAATTCTCATTACCCAGAACTCTTTATAGTACTCTGTTTTCACATTTATTTTCCTCTGCGTTATTCTTATTTATTTTCAGGTCACTGCTGAAGTCGGTACTCGATCTTTGGAAATGGTGGAGGCTCTTTACAAGTTACATCGGGTACATAGATTGCTTTATTGGTATTTTATCGTTGACTTTATACTTGAGAATTTTCCATCTCTGAAGTTGTGAGAATCTTTGTGAACTGACTAATTGGAATTACAGCTTGCTTGATGAGTGGCTTACTATCTGAACTGGGTTTCTAGATCTGTTATGCTGTTTCTCATTCCACTTCATTGAAGATAGAACTGATTTAAGGCTTGAAAATCAGAAAGTTTTATTATTATGATGGAGAAACATATATCTCCATTGAAATTTCTTTGGCGTCCAAATTCATCATTGTTGTCACTGAGAGTCAGGATGCAGTTAGAGGTGATGCTAACTGATTCAGTCCTATGGAAGAATCTAAATTTCGAGAGGGATTGGTCTGGTCATGTCATGTCAAAAAAAGGCTGGTTCTTGGTACTAAGGTTTGACTTAATGGTTCCAAACTGATCACATATTTCCATGAAAAATGTGAAGGGTGCATAAATTAATATTAACTGATGAGTTTGCATGCTACTGTTTCATTTTGAATGAATGCCTATCTTCTGTTTGCTTTACATGGCATGGGAAATCATTATGTTTTGTATTATCTAGGCATACCTATCACTTCCTGAAGGAACAGCTTCCGTGCATGGCCTTATAGCAATGGTGTCTGATCATTACAGTGTTCTTCAGGTACATATCTAGTTCAGCTATTCACAGTTAAAAGCTTCTGCTACTTGATGAATTCTTCTTCTCTTCTCTATGATTCATAGATGGCGTAAGGCTGGTTCTGCATACCATGTTATCTATAGTGAAAGTATTCTGTGCTTGATACTGGTGCATAAAAGCTGTTATATGTGCTCCTGTGATTATAACAAATGGGAGCTTAACCTGTGATAGCTTCAGCATTAACTGACTTGCCTGCCATCTGAGGTTTACTCTCCTCATATAATTCTGATGGTGTTGTTGCATTTTTCCTCATGTTTAGCATTAGAAAGGACTGGCATAAAGCAACAGATGTTCAGATCCCACTGTACTAGTTTATATGTTTCATCCAATGTAATGAGACGAGTTTTGCATAAGCTAGGTTCGTGTGGATAGTGGATTTAAAATAGTTTGAACGAAAAACATTCAAGAATATTTGAAGAACTAGGATACAGAAGTTTAGAGTTTGCTTTTGTTGAAAGTGTAAATTTACATGCTTGACGCATAATGTTGATTCACAAATCTTTGCTGTTGGTGACATAATAAAGTATGTTATTATTTCTTGTCATCCATGTAGGCATCAAGTGGTAGTGAAAGAGAGGACAATGGTGTTCCACAGATGTCCCACAAATCTCTCAAACGCAAGAGAGCGAAAGTTCCGCTTAGTGAGCAAACAGAGCTGCCTCTTGATGGATGCATGTCTCTTTTGAAGAGAGTGCGTTTACTTGGTATGCAGTTTGACTCTTGATTATTGGGGACTTGTTATTTATCTTTAAGGCTGGTGGGTGTTCATCCTATTGTTCCAATTAACTCCTTTACCGGTAGGGGGTTTGAAATTGATTGCGTGGAATTTCTAAAAGCTACTTTGGACCATTGTGCCATATTTTCTTTTTTACTTTCCCTGTTAAGTTCTTACATGCTTTGGATAATTACCTGTGATGACTTCGGTCCCGTTTGACTTTGGCTGACAATAAATAGAGCTGCATTTGTCATCATTATTATTTTCTGATAGCTTATGGCCATAAACATGACTTGAACTGAATTCTTGTTAGCATAGGTATGGTGGACGGCGATGCCTTTGTGATCCACGAATTCTTTCTATACCACAATATATTCATCTTCAAAACGATGAATTCAATCAACTATGTTGCTAATACTAGGATTAGCTAGTAACATATATGTGAACAAGCTAATTCTTATAAACCGACTAGCTATTCAATGCTGTGCCATGCAAGGGAGTTTAAGGAGTATATGACTTAAGAATTGTAGTCTAATTGAAGCTTGAGTTAGTTCTGATGGTCTTATTCTCGTCTTAGGTGGTCATCCTCGTGCAGTTGGGAAAAGGACGCCTCGTTTCCCTGTTTCATACAACAAAGACAATGGGATAAATTATGCTTTTCAGCGCAATAGGAGGTTAGATGCTGATTCCAAGGAAGAAGAGGTAGCACATGTTGCTGCCTTGGTATTAACTGAGACATCACGTAGAGGAGGCTCTCAAGTTTCCCAGGCATCCTGTGGCAGAATTGAGCAGGGCACTTCATCACTTGTTAAAAGCAAAGATAAGAAGGTATTTGATCATGGCACCCTCTTCCTTTTCCTTGAACAGAATGTGACGGACTTGGGATTCTAACATTATCAGTGTTTTTATTCTATCAGCTTTCATTAGTCTGCTGTAACAGAATATGTACATCCTCAATTTTGTTTGTGTAGGCAGAGTCAGCTCTAGAAAAACTTTATAATGTTTCCATACATGATGGTCGGATACCAGGGGCTAGAAGTAAGGGTATTAGGAACGTTGAGTATGATGGAAATGTAGGCTCGATTGAAAGAAAAGAAAAAAAGATTCGTGGAAAGAAAATGAAAGTTGGAGTGATTGGCCATCTTAAGGTTGATGGTGTGCAAGCTTCTGGGGGCACGGAAGAAGGTCAAGAATTAAGTGGTTTGAGCATAAAAGTTGATGCAAAGGTTTCAAATGGAAAGCTTAAGGTGACATCTCCTCAAGGCGTAAAGAGAAGAAGCAAGAAATTATTTTCTGGAGGTAAGGTTGAAGCCGTCCTTACATGAAAAGTTCAGACGCTGACTGTCACATTATGGCCGTGCTTACATGAAATTACTGTCTGATTATGTATTTATGTGTGCTCTTTTACGTTATTAATTCATTAAATGGTCTTGAAGAATTCTGATTTTTCACATTTTTTTGGTATAGTAACTCAAACAATATCTTCTTTTAACAATACTTTTCTCATTGTCAGACGAATTTTCTGCTCTGGATGCGTTGCAGACATTGGCTAATCTCTCTGTGATGGAATCTGGTAAGTATTGAAGACTACTGAGTATAGTACTTCTGTTTAAGAAGGTTTCTAGCATATTAAGTCTGTGGCTAGTCTACTATGTCTAAAAATCAAGTTACATAAACTTTTTCATAATAGAACTTATTGATCAATTTGCCATCATTTTACCAATATTCCTTAAGCTCCATATTAATTGTGGATTCAATATAAAAAGAAGAGTTGGCTAGTTAGTACCGGACAGACACTTATAGAGAGTAAAGACATAACTCTGGTTCTATATTTCAAAAGTAGCAATCATTTTGTGTGATTGTTTGTTCTATTCAACGCCAGTTTGTTACTTTGGATGCATGCAAATTTTCTCTCCAGGGTCACATTCATGTCAAATTAGATCCCTGCCTTGTAGGGAGGACTGAATTCTATTCATTTATGGAGCTGATAGTATGTTCATGCATCTGTTGCTATATTTCCCATCACTGTGCAATTGATGTGTTCTGTGCACTGATTCTGGCTTTTTTCTATTTTTATTTGTGTTGGTCTAGAGTCTTCTGCCCAATTGAAGGAAGAAACAAGTACAGTCGATTTGGGGAGTATATCTGTTGACCAGAATAGAGACATAACTGAAGTCTCATCCATGAAGGAAAAAGTACGTGATACAGTCATTGGAGTTGAAGCTGCCACCTCCAGGAAGCCAAAGTCCAGAAGAGTCTCAGAAACTGATGGTAGACATGCGAGTGAAGCCAACCAGCCAAATGATTCCTTGAATGATAATACCCTAAAAAGGAGACGTCCATCTTTGGTGTCAAGAGTAAGCATATTAGAACTTCTCTTCTATGCATTCAGCAAATCCTGTTACAATACTAAAAAAAACGCCTGTAATTTTGTTTGAGCTTTTATCTTGTTTCATTTGATAGTGTCGCTTTACCATCTGGCTCAGTAGCTAATTTTCGATGACATTTTTAGTCTCAGGCACCAAGTGCTGAAGCTGACGCAAATCCTACTCTTAGTGATTTACTGAAGACCAAGGTACACTACTCTGTCTTTCCCTCATTGCATCAAGCCTTTGCCCTTTACCCTTCTATATTGGGAAGCGGCAATTTATAATATATTGATAACCTTCAGTAAAAATAGTACTCTTGGTTGCTTAAGAAATGATAATAACCTCTTAAAATATTCTGTTGTCATATTAAATCTTGTTCCGGTTTCCCGAGTGCTAGTCAAGAGGTTTCTTTGACAATCCCATAATTTTTCCTATTTTACTTTTTGATTGATATAGGACTTGCCTGGAGAAGAGATCTTGCCTGATAAAGAGAAACAAACCAGTGAAGTGTGCGATCCTTCTGGACTACTGAAAAAATCTGGTTCAGGTTACAATGGTGATCAGGCCAATGAACCAAGTGGTCCATCAGCGTCAGCTGAACATGTTGTAAACAGTCAAACTAGTTTACCAATGCCATCAAGAAAAACTAGACGCAAGAGATCCCCTAATAATATAGTGGGTGAGAAGAGTGAAGCTATTGTCTGCTCCTTGCCATTGCAAGGGGGAGCATCTCATCCAAAGGTACATTGCATCAAGGCTTTGGTATTTGGTTAAATTGAAACCAAATTTCACATTTTTTGTCAACTGATACTGTGTTATTTAGTTTTGTTTATTGATTTTAGAAAATCATAGTTTTTGTTCCGGTTCACAAAAAACAGACCCATATCATCAAAATATGTTGAAGCATGAAGGGCCCCTCACTTATTATGGAATTTTCTGGAACTTACCTTCTTACTTGAAATTTAATGTAATTTACTTGATTTATTGCTGGAATTTATTAATTTGAGGTTTTTTAGTTTTATTCTTAAAGTTCTGCAATTGATTCTTTATTTTTTGTTGGATTTGTTTAATTCGGGTTTAGAACTCAAGCAATCTATTCTATTTGTTGTGAATGTTGTGATAATTTTGGTTCGTTATTCTGCTTCACATTGCTGCAAATAAAGTTCGGTTGAGATTTTGATCAACCGAAGTTCAATTTGGTTTAGGTTTCATAAAACCAAGCCCCACCCTAGCATATTACTTATGTTCTTTCCTTTTTTTTTTCTTCTCTTTTTTGCAGGAAGACGTTTCTTCTTGTCTTTCTTCTCCTTTTATTCGTAGATGGTGTACATTTGAATGGTTCTACAGTGCCATTGACTACCCTTGGTTTGCCAAACGGGAGTTTGTCGAATACTTGAATCATGTTGGGCTTGGCCACATTCCTACTCTAACTCGTGTTGAATGGGGTGTCATAAGAAGGTACGTCCACTTCTCATAAGAATATATCTTCCTCTGCTACATTTATGAGTGAGATCAATTTCTTAAGCTGTATGGTTCATTACAGTTCCCTTGGAAAACCCCGGAGGTTTTCTGAGCATTTTCTCCATGAAGAAAGGAACAAACTTCAACAATACCGTGAGTCTGTGAGGAAACATTACAGTGAGCTCCGTGCCGGTGTCAGGAGTGGACTTCCAACAGATCTAGCAAAACCCTTGTGTGTTGGACAGCGTGTAATTGCTATTCATCCACGGACAAGGGAACTCCATAATGGAAGAGTGCTAACAGTTGATCATGAAGAATGCCTGGTGCAGTTTGACAATTCTAAGATTGGAGTTCAAGTTATCAAGGTAGTTTCAGTCTGATAAATAGAGAATAATTTTGATTTTCATGAAATCTATGTAGTTGACTCATATGTGAAGAAAATTGTTCCATATATTTCATATTTGTTTGGGTAGTTAACTAACTAGAGGTCTTCAAGTATTCACTTTTGTGTCAAATAATGATTTTTTTTTATAAGTATCAAATAATGATTTGAAGTACTCGTTTTCCAGGATATGGACTGCATGCCATCCAACCCAATGGAAAACATGCCAGAGGCTCTCAAATGGCAGAAGTACTTCGATGCTAGGAAGCTTAACTCACTCGGGTCAGTGGAGAGTGTGCCTACTCCCATAAATACCAGAATAAAGCAAGCTCAGGTGAGGATTATTCATGTTTGGAAGATCGCAACTTTTTTGGTTTATGTATAATTCAAAACGTAGTTTAATATTTAGTTAAAACTTCATAGCCGGTGCAACAACTTGGTTCACACTTCACACCAAACCAAATCATTTTTTTATGGAATTAGACCATACCCTAATATATCTCTATTCGGTTTCTAAATTTTGTGACTTCTTTTCTGTTTTTGTCAATGGCATTTTTTAAAACAAATTAGAAAAGACCGATTCTGATCAATGGCATATTTTCTCCGATTATAGTTGTCAACTTTCCTTTTTATGTTTGATCCAATCTGATGCCGATTCAGGCCGATTTTCGACCAGACTGAACAATGCACACCTCAGTTCAGTGGGGAACTGGGCTTCATAATTTTAGAGTTATACTGCTCTTTATGAAATTCGAGAGCTGAAGTATTAATGCCTGATATTTTGCTTCTGTTTACTCTAAAAGGCTACAGAGCGTACTACTTCACAACTTATGGCATTAGGTATTCAAGCTTTCGATGCCCAAAATGTTACTCCTGGTCAATTTTCGGCAACGTCAGCTCTTGATCTGACTCATTCACTCAATAGAAAGGTACTTTGTGCTCTTAATTATTATTACATCATATATGCATACTGGTAATGTCCCGAAAGTAAGATTTTGCTGCGAACTTCAACCTCTAAATCCATTTGCTCCATGCAATAAATACTCAGCAAGGAAACCAGATGCACCTCCCTTGGTTTGCTTCCTCGGCCCATTCCAATTCTTATCACAGTTCGTTTGCTTCCCAAGATACGGGATCTGCTGCAGCAGCTGAAATCGTCAACAGCTCAAGACAAAGAGCTCACAAGATGCTTGATGCTGCTCTTCAGGTTTATCTCTGCCTTTCTCTTGGCTTTGCGTGTGTACCACACAACCGATGTGCTGAATCCTAACTACCCATTCATTCTAGGCATTCTCATCGAAGAAAGAAGGGGAGGATGTTTTTACTGGGATCAAGGAGGCTTTAGATAAGATGGACAACAACGGGCGAGGAGTTACATCGTCGATGCAGAAATCATCAGAGTCCCAAGCGAACCTCTCATCCTCCCTAGTCACATCCCCATCAGAGCTCATGACTTCATGCGTCGCCACTTTGCTCATGATCAAGGTACAAACCTTCACTCTATTTGTCTAAACCAAACTCCCCCAGGTATCCCTTTTCGATCATCGATCCTGACAATTTGGTGTATCTTGTTCGAAGATGTGTACCGAACGACAGTATCCTCCTGCAGATGTGGCTCAGATAATAGATTCTGCAGTCACCAACTTGCAGCCTTGTTGTTCGCAGAACCTCCCGATATACCGAGAGATACAGACGTGCATGGGAAGAATCAAGACGCAAATATTAGCTCTGGTGCCAACATGAACATAAGACGTCATCATGCTCACTATACATGTCTTTTTGCCTGTATCGGTTTAGATTTGCTTCTCTGCCATTGTAGATATATATGATGGGGCGGAGTTTCTTCATTTTAGGTAGGAGATCACATATAACTAGATAATCGTAATAGTCAAGTTTTTGCATCCTCCCTTTTCTGCCGCTAGTTTTAGAAGCTGGGAGTTTGCTCTATCAGCTGGGTCGAAAGAGCAAAAACTAGAAGAAGTTCTTGTGAACTTGTGAAATGGAGCCATGTTTTAGTTCTTACATATGTGATTATTTTAACTTTGACTATTTTTGGCGACTAATCTCGTCGTTAATCTAACTAGTTAATGACCGTGAAATCCACGTGGAAAATATTGGTTGGATTTGCTATAGCTGGATCCAAATTCTTGAATTTCAATAAATATAAGTGGTTTCATCGGTTCACGAAAATGAATACATACTACACACTTATTCGAAAACTAGCCTTAAAACATCATATCTTAAATTTTAATTGATAGTAATGTCTATTATGATGATATATTGTAGGATCACAACTAATCAATGCATTATTCTAACCCACAAACCTTCAATTTTGAACCCATAAAAATCAAAATTGTAAACCATAAAGCCTAACCCCAATTTCCTAAACCATGAATCTTTCAAATTAAAATAAATCTTGAATGATTATTGTGCAAATTCATATGGTTAGTGTCTATCATTACAAGTGACGATTGACATCGTTGTCATGAATCGTCTGGGCAGAATGACAATTAAAAGGCGAGTGCATTTAATACACCCAAATAAGTGAGTGTGCCGAAGATAAAACTATATGTATATGATTTTGTCTTCGGTGCACTCACTTTTTTGGGTTAATTCAATGCGCTCTCCTCATAATTGTCATTATGAGAAGGCTTCATGTCAAAATGAAGTCAATCTTCAATTATTATATGATGGACAAGAAAACACATGAATTTGCACAAAAATTATACCAAATTTACTTTGATTTGAAGGTTTTAGAGTTAGGGATTTAGGGTTAGGGTTTGTAATTTGGGATTTAAAGCTAGTGTTTAAAATTGAAGGTTTAGGGGTTATGGTAATGGATTGATTAACTGTGATCTTATGTTATATCATCATATCAAATGAATGTTACCAATTAAAATCCAAAAATTTATCTCTTAAAGCTACTTTTAGAGTTGAGTGCATCATAGACACTCATTTTTGTGAGTGCACCGAAGAAGCCACCATATTTATATGTATATGGTTTGGTCTTCAATGCACTCACTTTTTTGGGGCATTTAATGCACTTGCTTCATAATCGTCACTATGAGAAAGTGATCCATGTCAAAACGACGCTAATCGTCACTTATATTATGATAGACAAGAAAACACATGAATTTGCACGAAAATCATTCAAGATTTACTTTGATTTGAAGGTTCGATAGTTTAGAGATTTAGAGTTAGGGTTTAGGGTATATAATATGGGATTTTTTTGTTTGGGTTCAAAATTGAAGGTTTAGGGGTTAGGGTAAGTGATTGATTAGTTGTGATCATATGTTATATCATCATATCAGTCAATGCTACCAATTAAAATTAAAAATTCGAAGTCTTAATGTTACTTTTAGAGTTGAGTGCACCAAAAAAAGCCACCATATGTGTGTATATATAATTTGGGATAATACTACTAGAAATACCAATCTTTAGCGAAAGTGTCATTTTTATTACATAATATTCGATATGTCATTTGTATACCAACCGTTAAATTTTCTGTTAGTGGTTAACAGAAAATACAATCAACGATGACGTGGCTGCTCACATGGAATTTTTAATAAAAAAAAATAAAATGAATATCCACCTCTTTATTCTCTCTCTCACCCGCCCCACTCCTCAAGAAAACCCTAAACCTCTAAAAGCCCAGAGGCGGTGCCATCGGACCCTTCCCTCTCTCAACATTCTCCCGATCTCTTCTACTTCTGTGAAACGGTTCCATTTACCGAATTACCATCATTTGGTCACACTAATCGCCTCTGCAGCCCATTATTGTGAAATTGGGATTTTGGGCAAAGAAAAATGTAAATGGCGAGGCAATCTTTTAGAAAGTGTGAGAGCAACCTTTTATTGTGAAAGCATCATTTGGGATTCTAGGTTCTGTCTTCTGTGTAGATACGGCAGAAGAGTTTTGAGTCGGGTTGGTGGACAGAGTCGGGGTATGGATTCAAGATGCAAAAGAAGGCAAGGAGATTCAAGATGAACTAGATTCTGGGCTTTTTATGGCTTGAGCTCGCCAAGCTTTTCAATTTTATGGTGCAGAAAAAAAAATGCAATACAATAAACAGGAAGAGTCAATTTAACACCGCCATGCTCGCCGTCGTCGACGATGCGTAAAAACCAAGCCCCTGCCACCACTGTTGATCCGGTTTTTCCACTTTGGAGGGAAGGAGTACCAGATCCTGAAGCCGATGGCCTGTCCTCCAGAGATCTTGTGGTCCGGCTTGTCCCTGTCGAAGAGTCGGGAAATTTTGGATTTGACGACATCGACCCTGAAAGACTTGTCGTCTTCCACTCCCGGGCAGCCCCGACGGCTACGAGCGACGGCGGGCAGTGTTTTTCCATTAGAAGGCGATCCGAAGAGAATAGAAATCGAAACGCCAGCCTTGATAACAGGGTCGCCGGCTCGCCGCCTTGAGCTCCATGGTGTCCGATTGGGGAAGAGAGCCAGATTTGTGAGGCCAAGCTCAGAGGGGAGGTACCCGGCGTCCGGAAATGACAACGTGGTTGAGGTCGATGCCGGAGACGATGCGGGTTTTGGGATTGGCTTTGGATTCGATGACGAGCAGCATTTATAGCAATGGATGAGGTCGCGGAGGAGGGCAGAGAGAAAAATATTTTAAAAAATTAATTAAATTTGTTTAAATATTAAATTATTTAGGGTTCGTTTGCTTCAAGGATTTGGTACATGGATTTGGTACCAAAAAACTAACTATCAAGGATTTAGGTACAATCCTTTGTTTGTTTGCACCTTTTTTGGAGACCAAATCCGTGGGGCCCACGGATTTTAATGGTCCAAATCCGTGGACCCCACGGACTTATAAATCCCACATGTTGATGTGGGATTTGGAATATGGCATAAATCCTTGATGAGATTTTACCCATATATCCTCATGCACTTTTAATATTCCAAGGTTGCCCTCAAATTTAACTATTATACATTATAATTAACAATAAATGAATAATATAAACGTTCAATTAATGTGCAAACATGAGTTAGATTTTTTTATTTAATTTCTTGTGTTCTAGTTTTCTTTGACCTTTTCATGGAACGTGTAATTCTTTGTTCTCCCGATTCTAATATATGTTGTTATATGTCACTTTTGAAAAGGAGGACAAAGAATTGGTAATTGATTATGTTACGTTAAAAGTTAAAACGGAATTTTCTCGTTTATTATTATTGTCCATGTGGCAACATTATGCTTATTAGTATGTATTGTTCTTGTTTTGTGTACATATCATAAACATGTCAAACATATAGAAAATGATAGTAAGGTAATTTTGAAGTTTTGTCCTTGTTTTGTGTACATATCATAAACATGTCAAACGTATAGAAAATTTTTGAATTCAAGTAGTAAATCCCACACCTTTAAATCCATGATAAAAATATCCCAACAAACAAAGGATTGTTACAAATCCATGATGCCTCAAATCCATGATAAATCCTTGGGTTTTTAAATTACAAAACCCTCATTTTTAAATCCATAAAGCAAACGACCCCTTATTTTCAAAATAAATTAATTTTAAAATTTTAAAATAGTAAATTTCCTACGTGGCACCGCCACATAAGCAATAGTCAAACATAAGTTGACACCGTTAGGTCAACGGTTAACTCTAACGGTCAACACAAATTCGTGTAACATAAATGACGCAGATACCCGATAGGTTGGAATATTTTTGTGTTTATTGAAGTTACGTAATATAAATGGCACTTTCGCTAAAGGTTGGTATTTCCAGTGGTATTAGCCCATATAATTTTGTCTTCGCACTCACTTTTTTTAGTGCATTCAACACACTTGCTTTGTAATCGTCATTCTGAGTAGGCGATTCATGTGAAAACAATATCAATCATCACTTGTGAATTGTGATATGATGGACAAGAAATCCCATGAATTTAAAAAAAATCCAAAGATTTACTTTCATTGCAGAGGTTTAGAGTTTAAGGTTAGCATTTAGAATTTACAATTAGGGGTTTAGAGTTAAGGTTAAGGGATTTTAGAGTTTAAGGTTAGCATTTAACATTTACGATTAAGGGAGTTAGGGTTCAAATTGAAGATTTATGATTTAGCGTTGGGATTTACAATTATTGCAACTAATAAGTTCATCCGATTTCCATAGGTTTCACTGAAAATTAGAAAGAAAAAAAAAATCTAAGAAAAATGCAAAGACAAAATTTCTCGTTTGGGAATGACGAGATCTATTAACAAAAATATTACATCGATTCACTAGTTGGCCACATCTCTTATTACAACCCACCACTAAGTTCTCCAATGCACTCAAATTGCAAATTTTAGCCTCATAAACTTCACTTCTGCTAGAGCTTTCAAGATTGTTCTTTTTTACTTATGAGGCAAAAATAAACATCACCATGGGCTATAAAGGCTTGGGGAAACAGGGAGGGGATGGTAAAAATTGAATACTCGCAATTTACATATTCTTTTCTGGCTCTTTGAATTTTCTCTATCCTAAGAATTAAGGGGAAAGAAAGACCACTGAAAAAAGATCGAAAATCAACGAGTTCTGGTGTTCTTCCATTTTCTTCTTCTTCTTCTTCTTCATTCCAACCAAAGCTTTTAGCCGAGCAAGAACCTGAATACGTCACTTAGCGAGATGATCCCTTCAACTCGCTTGCTTCCAGCCTCCACTATCAATAGTCTCCTGATCCCTGGACGAGAGAGCAATCAAGCAATCAAATCATGTTTCATGAAACCAATCAAAACTCTTATCTTAGGAACTTCTCCATCCAAGCAACTGTTAGGTACAAATTGGGATTACCAGGACTTGCTAATCGCTCCATCACTTTGTGAAGTGGATCGGATCTCAAACACATGTGACATCGCTGTCCATTGTAAGGGGAATTTGCATCTTGTCCCAACTGCAATGCCTAACACAAGAGAAGAAAGCGTGCTTGGCATGTTAGTCATACATCATGTAAATTGGCATGGTGGCTTGAGCTTGACCATTCAGATTTGACCCAATTAACCTATCCATGAACCTCAGTTTATGTCACAAGCAATCCCAACTGATCCATAAGAGAAAATAATAAACTCCTATCCATCTTGTTGTGTTTAGGTCAGGTTCTATTACGGGTTACATGAAATCGAGAAATGATAAAAGTAGCACTGTCAAAGAAAGTATAACAATGCTAAATCACCTTCATCTTGATGGATTATCAAGTGTAGGAGGTCATAGATATAAATAATGAGCTATAGGTGTTTGGTTTTGTTCGGATTTATCGCCACCCTCACCCATCCATCCAAGAAGTTTTGATTGTTTGGCTGGTTTCAGGTGTGCTGTGCTGAGTTTAGTCAGTTTGTTCAACCCCTATATTCAGGTGTGACCTAGTGTAATATTCAAACTGACGTTAATGTGAGTCAGCAAACAAGTTCGACATTAAGAAGGTCTACCTGATGGATGCTTATTTCGTCTAGATGAATCTGTGCATATGCTTTATCTTTTGCCAGAGCAGTGATATCGCTGTCAAGTAAGAAAAAAGATGTCACAGATTGCTGCATTCAAAGTGTCAAAACCACAGCAGACGGATGAGAATTAAGTACAAACCTCCGAGAATAAATGTCCAGAAGTGAATCGTTCTCATCTACAATCGGAATCGAACTGACATCAGCTGCAAAGGAAAAAAAAGCATCAGCCAAGATCCTGATGAGTTTAGTTATAACAAATTCAAATGGTAAAGAGCAAATTGAACATGGACACGATCAATAGAAAGAAATCAATAAAATTGTCTCAAACAATGTTGTCGAAATCAGATTTTGGAGCATTAGATTAAATCATCCTAGAGGGGATAAACCAGCTCAGATCTTACATAAACTCGGTGGTCTATATAATCTTACTATTTTCAAAGCACAAGTGCAGCAGGAAATTGGTGGTGCATAAACTCTTACAATTCTATGAAAAGATCTTCAGAAGCTATGATTTCCCATTTAATCTTGAGACCATTCATTTTGACAACCAAGATGCCAGTTGCAATTTACCTTGAACTAACAATGACAGGGCCGCACCCATAGAAGCATTGGGTCTCAAGACTGCAACAGGCCTCGGATCTGATTCCCCAATTTTAGGAACCCATGTACCTAAAGGAATTGAACAAATTGGCTGTTGCAAAATGGGCAAAGTACTAGCAGAATGCCTAAAGTGCCTGCATATACCTGCAAACAAACATCAAGAATCATTAATCACAAAAGGCATGTTTGTTAACAAACATACATATTATATGTGATGGAGAGAAGAAACGTACATTTAAGTATTCCTGACAGTGAAGCTAGATGTAATAGCTGTGGAAATGAACCATCTTGAGACGAAGAATGGATGATTGGAACTGTTGATACATTACCCGACAAGATTTTGTGAGAAATGTCTTTCAACGAATCGTAAGGCCCAGCCTACAAACAGTCAGCATGTATCAGTACAAGTAGAATGCTCAACTGCGTGGCAGAGGATCTCACAAGACTTCATAGCCAAAACACTTACATGGATCAGATGCCTAGGATCTGATCTTCCATTGCCATCGATTTGTCTTCTGAGGTGCAACTTGCCTTCCTTCCAAGCTGAGATCGTATGAGTTTCCAACTCCTCCTCTGTCAAATTTGATCCTCGATTTCCAAGCTGGAATTCACCATAAAATTGACTGACAAGTCAGCCTCTACATTCAAAACACACCTTCACAAGTTCTAGTCTGATATTTCAGATGAGAGAAATACTCTAGCAAGATGACGAGTTTCCAAATTGCAGAATTTATTAACTTATAATTGGTTTGGGATACTTTGCTGACTTTCCTTATTCACCAACTACATAGATAGAACTAGCAATATAAACAGTTCCACCACACAAGGGAGAAATAATCAAACAAACGGAGGAATCAAGATCAAGAAAGGACATCAGAACTGTACACAATAGACAGCACTAACTCACCTCTCTGAGAATCAGGATAAAATCCATCGCGCTGAGAACACCAACAAACTGGCCCTTCGAGAAATCCCAAAGAGGAGCCACAGGAACACCCTGGAATTAATCCAAGTGGAAAAGGATGAATGCTTAGCCAGGGCATTAAACCGCAAAATGACCGAAAAGACAAAGGCACAGAACATAACCAAAGTATGAAGTAACTATGAAGTGAAATATGAGCTCGTCCTTTTGCCTAGATGTTAAATATTGCATGTAGGCTAGTCTATCTACATAGACAAGTACTCACCTGTTCGTGGAGAATATGGAATGCTTGCTTTACTGGTAGTTTAACATCCAATGCAATAACCTAGAAGACAAATTATAAGCATAAGGATAATCTCAAAACAGAAACAGCTGACTACAAGTATGTGATCAAAGAAAAATAAAGAGCTCCAGAAGACAGTATGGCATCCAAACCTTGCCTGACTCAGGGAGCAACTCATATGCAGTATGTGTCGACAAGAAGGCAGAAACCCTATGACGAGAGACTTCCAAATCAGCATCTGATATGCCCCGGGTAACATCCTGAGAAGGATCACCAACAATATCACCCAAGTTAGTTTTTGACCTATTGCTTCCCATCTAATAAACCTCACCTTTCATTAATGAGGCTCAGACAAGGAAAATCTTATAGAATAGCTACTTACAGTCATATAATGAAAGCTAGAAACTAAAAAAAAAACTTACAAAGAGCACCACAAATACGTGAGAACATATCAGATTCAACAAACTCCCTTACCGAATGAACAAAGACATCATCCAGGTCCATGCTAGATCTCCCAGGCCCAGTAGGACTAAAAGTTGCAGGGATTACATCTGCCTCCCTAGGTAAGAAAACTGTATTTGACACTCCATAATTACCACTTACAAAAGGCTGGTGCTCATCATACCGCCACTCTCCATCGACAATAAATTTATACTGCATATAAAGGTCAAAAAGAGAGAAGGTAGGTAAGAACAGTGGACACTAGATCATGGATCCTTTAAGAGATGACATAATCTACAAATTCAATGAAAACCAATGTTCACAAGGTTATAGTGCTTTGGTAAAGCTTCCAGACAACCGCTTCGCAAGCTAAAGCTCTTTTCATAGTTCTAATGCATTGGTTTCTGTATAATAAACCAACACTATCATCACAAATAAGTCCCACTTTCCTTTTCACATCACCAATGACGAATGTTTGACCATGACTTTTGCATAAACTTAAAGCACCTGATAATTACTACTTAGTGCAAAACACAAACGGGGAACATTGACTAAAAATCAAGACTTGCTTACAAAAAAAGATTCATTCACAAAGGGGGTAGTAATAATATATATATAGTAAGACGATGCTCTTGTTTCCATTTTTATGATAATCGACAGCAAATGTGGAACTGGAATCAACAAAATGACTGTAGGAAGCCAGAGTTCAATCATAATTTACAGGTTAAGGAAGACAGAAATGAAAAACCGTTGAAGAAAAAACAGTTAACCTGGTGATATCCAGGCGTCAAACTACAAATAACTTGAAATACAGTAGGACAACCCTCCATCGGGGACATGGGAATGTGGTCAATCCACCTGCGGAGATAAGAAACGCATTCAGACCCGAAATTATTATTAATCATTATAAGAACCATAACAACTTTGATCACTATAAATCATCGTCATAGAACCGATTATTAATCATTATAAGAACCATAGCAACTTTGACATACGCACTAGCAAACCAACCTAGTGAAAGAGCCACATAGAAACACACTCCTCCCTCCATAAGGCCAAACAAACCGCATAGGCACTACTCCCGCACTCTCATGGCCGGTATCTGCACCGGAAGCAAACATTTCCACTATCCAATGCAGGCCAAGTAGCACAAATTCTCGGAATCCTCAGGCTCTACAGTATATCCAGTTCAACAATCTCCCTAACGACAATAATTGGCTAGAGAGGAGACAGCAGGGATCCTCTACAGTTGAGCAGAGGACCCCTCTTTATGGCTTGTACATGCAGAGTCACCAAATAGAAATCAAACCGCTCCAAACCCTTCTTTCGAGTGGTGTCAAACCCCAAAGCTCATTATCAACCTTCAGCAGGCAAAGGAGGGGGGACAAAAAGCTCCGAACTTTAACCACCAAAATTCCAGCAATTAGTCGTCACATGCAGCGCCGACAAAAAAATTCCAAATCCCAACAATCTGAGTTCCCGTAGATCAACAATTCCGAACAAGAGAGTCGAGGAAATCATACACCCACCACGGAAAGAACTTGAACAATCCAAAAAGCCCAAATTCAGCAGAACCAACTGCCAAAATGAAGCTCTGATCTGGGGCGAAGGAAAGGAAGCTCGGGGGCTGAATCGGGTCGGGGAAACAGCCAACCCATATAGGGAATTCGAGTCGGGATTGGAGAGTGAGCTTGTGTTCCGTGAAATTTGTGGAGAGTGATGGGAAACGATGGGGATTGAAAGAGAGAGGAAAACCCTAATTTGCCGAATTGAAGAGGAAAACCGGACAATGTTGGATCTGGGGAAAAGGGTTGTAGGGGGGAAATGGTTTTTGTGGTTAATCTTGGGAGTGAAGAGAATCTGAGGAATGAATGAAGAACAGAGACGGAAAAAGAGAGAGGAAGGAAAGCCTAAAATCAATTCATGTATATATATTTTTTATAAGAAGGAAAATGACGGACGAGAAGTGCAGGCAGGCAAGCAGCAAGCAAGTGTATCAGCGACAGCGGTAAAATCCACGAACGTCAAATGCCAATGGCTGACTGACTACTTGGTGGCTTTTTAAGAAAGGGCAAAATGGAAAAGGAAAGAAAGGGAAATCCGTAATTATGATGTGATTAACGGGAGCAAAGTTCTCTATTTGGGACTTCAGCAAATGATTTGATCGGTAATACAATTAAATTATGTATGTTGATAGTGGTTTAAGTATATACAAAGTATATTTCAATTTCAAGACAATTTATTTATAATCTATATCTATATTCATATTTAAATAAAATACAATATTTCAAATAGAATAACAAATACACGTATTTAAATACAATGTTCAAAGTTAACATCCAAATATTCGTACTTTAATCTAACAAATAACATCAACCTTTAACTTTCAAATTCATGAAATAAATCATAAATTAATATTTTGTTAATTAAATTCACTAAAGATGTCAATTTATTTAGAGGTTGAAAATCGATCATGTCGATCATACCAGTGATATTCTAGTCGATTTCATGAGCGACACGGGTTGTACAATGTTCAATCGACCGACATTCCACTGACGTGACTACCAGTCTACCATGAACACGAGTAATTTGATAAGCCCATGTTTAGTACACTTTTGCTGATGTTGTGGTTGCGGTACTGTTGATTGTTGTGACAATAGAGGTACAATAACACCATAAAAATAAAAACTCATTTAGTTGGTAATTCTGAAAAATCATGAAAGTTGACAATTTTCTGTGTTTTAGGGTTCGTTTGGTATATGTGTATCTAAACGATGCATTTAATAAATGCATTATTTTTTTGTTTCAAAATAAAATATAATGCATGCATTTGGTTGATGATATTACAATTGAAATCATTCAATATGAATGATTTACAATCTCAACTATTTGGTGATATTGTTGAGATTGTGTTTTGAGATTGTTCTTCCATGTTTCTTTCCCTTTATATCGCTATCAACCTTTATGCATTGTTACTCTTGTATGTAAAAGAAAGGGTAAACATGACATTTCACTTAAAAAGTGATTTTCTCATTTTACTTCGAAAATTACAATCACAACTACCAAACAATGTAATCTTAAAATACATGCATTTAGACAATACATCAATTTACAATGCAAGTATTCATACAATACATCAATTTTAACAATCACAAATACTAAACGACCTTAGTTACTTCATTAGACCCTATTTAGTATCAATGTTGAGACTAATACAAAAGTAAGTAAATAACGAGAGAAATAGTGTTGCATGACGAGTTATGAGAAAATTGAAGGAGAAAAGGTCATACCATCTCCAATAAGTGAGAGATAGAGTGCTAGAATGTTAGATTTTAAGATTTGGTTTGGCACTTTGACTTCTAAAAGTGAGGTTTGCTCCGGTAAGTAGTGCCAAAGTGTCAAACTTTATCTTTTCGTGACTATATAGTTTAGTGTAGATTTCATAGTTTAATTAGACATTTTGTATATTATTTTTATATAGATAATAATAATTAATTAAGACGAACATTTCAGTGTAACTTTTTAAAAATTGGACATAAAACAATTTGTCGTTAAATATGACATCATCAATGGCGAACACACAATATTTGGTTCAAATAACAATAGATTAATCACAAGTTTGTCAGATTGAGTTGTGTCATCAACTGTACATAAACTTTTATGTGTGTTATTAATATATTCTCATGTTTTATTGATGTATCCCCATGTTTATGTATTTGATGTGTTCTAAATAAAACGGTAGTTGCATTTACTAAGTGAAGAATTACAATTGAAATAAAGCGTACATGAAAAACAAACCCCTTAAAATAAAACAAGTACACTTAAATGGTTACATGTTGGGACCATAATAAGAGTCATCATTTGGAGCAACTTTATACTCAAGGTACAATCTCATCCTTTTGTCTTTGGTACCAAACTTTAGTTCAAAGACTGCATTGAGAAAGATCAGGGCGTGAATGCTACTCTTATTTGTTTTAGTTATTTAATGGTTATGTATATGTTTGTTGTGGGTGTTTTTCAGCTAACAAAACTCATTATTTTGCAACTTTCGTCAGCTCAATTGCTATTTGAAGGCCATATTTTGAATTTAATTAGCAAAATTCACTTAAAGTGTAAGAAAATGCATTTCAACACTCAAACATGATAAATCTCTTAAATCTTTCTTGAGCTTTCAATATTTATCGCAACCACAAACTGATGCATTTCGAGCCAAGTATTGACCAAAGAAAATGGCATGCTAGTAAAGTAAAAGAATGAGGGGATTCGCTCTCCCCTCTCTAAATGAATTTTTGCGAACAATTTTGGCGAGGCTCTTCGTTGGGTTCTCTATGGAAGATACCAGGAAGAACATGGCATCTTGTAGATGGTCGGGAAATCAAGCAAAATCACCTTTTATCTATTAGAAGAAAGGTAGTGGTCCAGGATCTCGCTTCTGAGATGATTGATTGGATTCAGACTCTGTAGAGTAGAGCGGCAAGGCCGAAAATCGATTTCTGGAATTATCAAACGAAAAAGGAGGATATTGGGGATATACCCAGATCCGAAATAGGGATACACTTGCAAAATATCAGCAAGAGATAACCCTTGGAGAAGAGTCATGCACCCAGACTGTTCTCATACTCGCTCCACAGTGGGTGTATTTAACCTCCGACTCCCAATTCTGGAAAGGCACTCACAACCCTAAGTTCTATGAAAGTGTAGAGACGGAGAAGTATAACCAAACCTTGACGGCGGTGGAAGGTAAAGATACCATGGATTGGATGGTTGTTGTGCGGTTAATTCATATTTGGATGCTGCCCTACAATGGTTTCATTGTTTTTGCCCATTCGTTTGCTCTATTTTCTAAGCATTATCAGGCTCGTGGGAACAGAGGAATCATGGCGGGGGAACCAATGGATCAGGACCAGATCGTGGAGTTTGAACTGGAAGATGTCGAGGAGAGCATGCAGAGGGCGAAGCATAGGGAGATTTTTCATGGACAATCCTTCCAGCCTAAAGACTATTCAAAAGATCGTCTATAGTGAATGGGGCTGCTCGGGGATGGAGGCGGAACTAGGGCTTTTGCAGTTCTTGTTTGACAAGGAGCATGACAGGGATTGGGTCCTAAAAAGGACTTCATGGCAGGTGAAGGAGAGAATTTTGCAACTACATAATTGGGAACCAATCACATTCGCGGTGATGGATGCGTTGAGCAAGTCGTCGTTATGGGTTCAGATGTGGGGAATACCCTACATTGGCGAACAATGACTTTTGGAAAAAGAATGGCAGAGAGAAAACTGGGGGAGGTCTGCGACGCAGGCCTGTTCGTATTGAGAGGTGTACCGGGTCACTTTGTAAAGGTGCGGGCCAACATCAATGTTCTTGCTCCGCTAAGGTCCCAGTTGTTCGCAACTAACCCAAGTGTGGGTAAATTCTGGATCACTTTGGTGTATGAACGCTTACCCCTGTTCTACAATCATTGTGGTCAATTTGGTCACACGACACAAAATTATACCTACCCACCGCCGTTTGGTGAAGAGCATTTTGGTCCAAAAATGTCAACTAAGGAATCAGGCCATAGGCTGAACGAGATTTCTCTCGCATCCATCTATGGGGATCCTTTGCAGAAATCGGTTTGGGTTAACCCAACCACTTTAGGCAAAAGGAAGATGGATGGGGGTTCTGACAGGAAAGTTCGCCCTGAAGTTGCTGGGGCGCGAAGATAGGTGGTGTTGGCTCTCCTAGTTGCTGACAAGGACATCGAAATGAAAGGAGGGAAACAGAGGAGGCAGACTGATGTTCAAAAACAGACCAAGAGAGGTGTGGCTGGGGAGGAAAGAGGCGGAAATGGGAAATAGAAAGTGCTGACCTCTGGGAGTCACGACCATCGCCAAACTGTGGCCACTAATAAAGGAATAACGTTGGCGGGGAAACTAGAGAAGTCGAGTGGGCAGCATCCCTCGAAGGAGGCTTCAACCAAGGCTTCTTTATCCAGAGAGGATGTGAAGGGCAAAGGTGTCGAATCGGGCCCTCAGAAGTCTCATAAATTGGCGTTGAAGGTCAGGAGAGAAGAACTTGGGAAGAAGGGTGTGGATGGGAAGGTGACAGGGGGTGCCAAAGCGACGGAAGGGGCTGGATGATA